TTGCCAAGGGTTACAAAGCAGCAAAGCTAGGATTTCATGTCAGGTTATCTGATGCCTGAGTCTCTCCTCTTGATCACTATAGGGATCAGTGATGATGATGTTCATTTGTCCTCTCAGGGGACAAATTCTAATCCCACACACCTCCCTGCCTTAGCCATAGGGATTTATGTTGTGGCTTTTTCTTTTCTAATCTTCAAGAAATACCTAGCTTGTTTCTTCCACTACTTTTCTTTTCTTTTTAATTTTTTTAATGTTTTATTTATTTCTGAGAGAGAGAGAGAGACAGCGTGAACAGGGGAGGGTCAGAGAGAGGGAGACACAGAATCTGAAACATGTTCCAGGCTCTGAGCTGGTTGTCACCACAGAGCCCGATGTGGGGCTCAAACCCACGAACCAGTGATATCATGACCTGAGCTGAAGTTAGACGCTTAACCGACTGAGCCACCCAGGCACCCCCACTACTTTTCTTTAAAAGCTATATTGGAGAAGGGTCACCTGGGAGACTTAATTGGTTAAGTGTCCAATTCTGGGTTTTGGTTCAGGTCATGGTCTCATGGTTTGTGAGTTCCAGCCCCACATTGGGCTTAGCACTGACAGTGCAGAACCTACTTGGGATTCTCTCTCTCTGCCCCTCCCTGCTCATGACCTCCCTAACCCTCCTCCCCCAAAATAAATAAATAAACTTAAAGGAAAACTCACCAAGTTACCATTAAAAAAAAGTGTACTGGGTACTAGCTGGGATGTCAGGCCCCAGACTCTAGGACCACAAAGAGATGTACCTTTACTGGGGTTTAAGAAAGTCTTTATCTTTACAGAGATGATGGACAACACCTGCCCCCAACTCCGACTCACCTCCAAGATGGGAAAACAAGTTTTTGTAAGATGGGGTTGAATTGTCAAATTCTATTACATTAAAGTTTTTAAATGTTTTATTTATTTTTGAGAACGGGAGAGAGAGAGCGAGCGAGCAAGCATGAGTGGGGGAGGGGCAAAGAGAGAGAGGGAGACACAGAATGTGAAGCAGGCTCCAGACTTCACTATTGGCCGTTTAGGGAAAAAGAAAACATCCTTTATACTTTGAGATCTGATATTGCCAAATGACAGCTATTGTTTTATACCTGGCATAAATATAAACACAAAGTGTTAAGATGGCATTGGATAATCAACTTAATCTAATTTGTACTAGGTGGCTGGCAATTAATTTTTTTTTCTTTTTAATGTTTTATTTATTTCTAGGAGAGAGAGACAGCATGAACAGGGGAGGGTCAGAGAGAGAGGGAGTCACAGACTGAAACAGGCTCCAGGCTCCGAGCTGGCAGTCAACACAGAGCCCGACGCGGGGCTTGAACCCACGAACCGCGAGATCATGACCTAAGCGAAAGTCGGACGCTTAACCGACTAAGCCACCCAGGCGCCCCTGGCAATTAATTTTGAAGTGAAATATATGTATAATGATATATTCTATTACGTTATGTTTTATATTTCTGTTCACTTTAGCTGGGTTGTCTCTACAACTTGGAATATTAATCTCTTAAATGAAGCAGTTCAGATTATCCTGTCTCCTTCAGGACTGCATTCTCTTGAGCCATTACCTATTCCTTATAGATGGTTCTATGGGGTTTTTTTGTAGGATTTTGAGCTGAAAGTTTGCATGTGGTTCCACCCTGGCTCGGAGAGGTGATGAAAGCCCATCGTGCTGATGTTATGTATCAACTTGGCCAGTGTATTGTTTAGACTAGACAGCTTATTGTTATTACTATTTGATGGATAAAATACCCTATGTTTTATTTGGCAGTTGGATAGACTCATCTTGGTGCTAAATGTATCTTGTGTTGCCATGGGCTTGTAGGAAAAATAATAGATGTTACAAACAGTCTACCTGCCCTCCTATTCTGTAGGACAGCATAAAGACTCTGCTTTTTATAGAGGTGAACATGCTGGTTAGACAGAACTCTGGATTATTTTTCTATGTTTCTAAAGCTGAAATAATTCTAATGCCAGAAAAAAACTGTCAAAGCAAGGCATTCAGAAAGAAGATAATCCATAGAAGAAAAATGAATTTCCATAAAAACTAAAGTGTAAGTTGCATGTTGCTATAGGGTCTCAGAAATATAGGAGCGGGAGAAACAAATTAAACTCTCTAAACTCTGCCACATCCCTGAACTTCATGAAGTGTACAGCAGTCTTGAGGGAATTGAGAATGATTGGAGTCAGGTCTTTAAAGCTAATGTGAACATTTCTCTATTTCTATGTTTACTGCTGGGCATTCAGGTGAACTTGTACCACTTCCTGCCCTTAAGGGTCTCACAATTTAGTATATCCCACATATTTTTAACTTCGGTCTTAGTTTCTTCATTTCCCCTATCTGATTCCATTCAGTATTTTCTTCTTTCTCCAGATCAAGGGCTATCCTAACTCTAAGTTGTGAGGCAGCCTGATCTGGCTTTGAAGCTTCAGATTCTATGTTGGAATTAAGTGGATAACCCTGTTATTCTTGTGAGAGGAAATTTCCTGTCCACAGCAGCTGGGCTGTCTGTCTTGGGAAGGCCTTGGTATGGCCTTGGGCACTCTGCTGCCCTCTCCTGGCTACAGCTACTTCTGTTGCCAAGGAAATTAATGCATCAGGCTGGAGGGAGCCCACTGAGACCTCTGGCCCAAGAGAACATTAGTAGCTAGGCCAAGGATGGCACTAAGTCTCATTTATACTGCAGACTCATCAGTGATTTTACTAGCTCTGTGACCTCGAGTAAGTTCCTTTATTTCCCTGTGATTCATTTTATTAGTGTGCAAAATGGGGATGATAATAGCACCTACTGTATAGCACTGTTATGAAAATCAAATGTGTTACTATTTGTGAAGCAATTTGAACAGTGCCTGGCATATAATAAGTGCTATATAAATATTAAAGAAATCTTTTAAAATGAAATGAAGAGTACCAGATTATGCCACCTCAAAATATGCCTCTTCGGCATAAGGATTATTTTGAGCTGATTATTTTTGAGAAACACAGACACTGAAGAAGCTCAGAAAACAGAGTAGAAGTTACTCTTTCATAGGGGAAACTGCTGTTTATAAAGAAAATTTTCTGTTGTCTGTCTTTCCCTCTATACTAGGAAAAGAAAAATGACTCTAAATCACAAAAGAATCTTACTAATGGAAAAGGTACCCACTCAAATTTGGATAACAAACCTTACTTAACCTTGTTTACTATGCTTTTCCTGGTAACTCTTCGTAACTGCTCCCATACCATCCCCAAATACACACCTTTTTTCCTTTTTTCTTTAGCTGAATGTAAGTTGATAACTTGGGCCATCAGGGAGGTACTCAGTTATCCTGGGTATCTCCCTTGTATACATGAGGTACACGTGTTAATAAATTTTTGTTCCTTTTTCTCGTTAATCTTTTATTGCAGGGGTCTCAGCCAAGGACTGAAAAGGGCAGAGGGACCATTATTTTTCTTCTTCTACACAAACAGTTAGTGTGTTGGGTAGGGAAGAGCTGGTGATGACAAGGGAGAGCATTTTAGAGTCTGTTAGACGTGTCTTCCAAGGACATGTGAGAAGGGGACGAGGCCAGAGTGCCAGATATTTGTCATCCCTGCTATAGATCCTTATGGGCTCAGCCCTAAACATAATTTTAAAAGGGACAAATTTTTAATTATTTGCCAACCTCTATTATTATTCCCTTTAGAAAACACATAATTGGGAGTCAAATTTACCATTTATTCAATTTTATCTATCTATCTCCTACTTACCTAGTGCGAAGAAGATAGTACACACTGGAGACCCATGTAAACAAGCGAACCATGATCCCTGCTTAGAAGAATCGTAAATTCTGGTTGGTGAAAGAGATGTCACACGGATAATTGTGCACTTACGTGTTTAATCACACCTATGAAGAGTACTCTGAAGGACAAAGATAATGTGAAACAGGAGTCCCATCTCAAACGTGTGGGTCAGGGAAAGTGTCATTGAAAAGATGATATTTCAGCTGAAGAACTGAGATTTAAAAGAACTGGTTAGGCCAGGGATTTGGCCTTGAGGAAGAGAAAGGTATTCTAAGCAGAGGGAGCAGCATGGGCAAAAGTTTCTGGAATCATTTTGCACTATATGAGATCCACAAAAACAAAAAACAAAAAAACCCCGAAACTGAAAAACAAAACAAAACAAAAAAAGAAAAAGAAAAATATTTAACACCTTCCTTTAAAAAGGAAAAGTTTGGTAAGTAGCAGATGTTTTCCTCAAGGGCAGACTGTATTGGTGTTATATCATTTTACCAGTATCATGCAATATCAGTAGGGAATATTAAGAATAAATCTGATTGGGGAAAGGGAAAACTTCACGGAGGAAATTATATTAGGGGTATAAAGGATGGTTTGGGCTTCAATAGACATACATAAACTAAAGGATAAGAAGGTATAGACCAAATGACTTATTCTGAAAAGTAAAATGTTTGGTATTAGCAAGAAATAGAATTTTTTTTTTTTTTTTACTTCAGTCTTTTCTTTGGGGTCCTGAAAGCACACCATGGAATCTGGTGCCAGAACCACTTACAATAAAGTTGTCCTGTTTACAGGTTTGATAACCTGTTTTTATTCTTTAACAAATAAGAAATGATGCCATTATCCCCTACAAAATAGCTGAGGTTTAACTTGAACAAAATCCGTTTGGAACTGTTAAGCTGGTTACACAGAACTAATATGCCTCAAGGTGGTCATTCTCTCTGGATTAAAGCTGTGGAACAATTGTGGCTCCTGTTACAAGGAAAATGACAAAAGGCCATTATGAAAAGGGACAAATATCTCTGTTCCCAGAGGGGGACTGACAAACTGAAAGTCCCCATCTACATGCCAACACAAAAGCCTGATTGCCTCAGATTGTTTGTTTATGTAAATCAAAGGGCTGACATTAATTCAGCAAGTGGGGCTGCTCAGAGACAAAGAAGGTGCTGATTGGCCGGATGCTTGCTCAGGAGCTGGTGGCAAATCTGACAAATCCTATTGCTTTGGTTCTAAGCTCTATCTGGATACCTTTAAGAAAAGCAGCTTTTATAATGTACTGAAGTAAATACTTTGTATTCTTAGAGTAGGGGTCGGACCGCTTCTGTCAAGGATCTGTTCACTCAGTTTCCCCAAAGCTTTCTCCACGTTGTTGGGCTCAATTGCACATCATGACAGAGGTTCCAGGGACATTCAGTCAGGCTGAGTGTAATGGGGATACACCGCCTGAAAATGGTCAACAACCAGTCACTAAAACAAATGAGGGAGCCAGTGATGTGGCCGGCGCCTCACCACACTACAGGGTCGAACGCCGTCTTGAAGACTTACCCACGGAAGGAAATCAGGAGACAAATGAAAAATTACAGGGGAACACGCTAGTCAACTGGTCCACCGATGGGGAGATTCTCAGAGGTAAAGCATTTTCCTTCTCTTTGATTTGCTTGATTTGATTTTGTAAAGTCACTCAGGATTCTTTTGATAAAGATTATGCCAGGAACGTGCCGTCCATCCTTCCACCCTTATCTCAACCCAAATACGAGACCTCTCGTTCTACTGGGGCTGGAGAGCAGAAGGACAACACCTCTGCCTCAGGTCAAATCCAGCCTTCTTTCTTTGATAGCTTTCTGACCCTAGACAACTTCCCTAGCCTCCTGAAGCTTTAGCTTTCTCTGTTAGCAGAAGGCAGAAATGACAGTACTCATATTTGTATGGTTGTTGCGAGGATTACTAAGTGTTGCTTAAATGTTTACTACTTGTATTGATTATTATTATCTAGCCCCATTATTACTTAAGCAAAGGAAATTTAGCATTTCAAGTTTTTCTTCTGAAATATACCTGAACGTATCTGAATTCATGGTTCTATACTTTATATAGATGTAAAGTTAGAGGTTATCCTTATGTTTACATATAAGAACCAATGAAGAAATGAGTTGGAAGAGTGAAATAGTTATTTTTAGGATTCACAATTGCAAATCAAATAGATCTACCTAGCTAGAGTCTAAATTGATAATTCATATAATCCTGAACTGCTTTAAGTGTTATGGGATTAATTTTGTATGCGTGGTTTTGTTTCTCACCCAGAAAAACCAGAAGAGAATCTTTTTATTGTTCATAAGGCTGTTGCAGATCTTTCTCTCCAGGAAACGAGTAGTGATGAAATGACATTCAGAGGAGGTAAGAGGAACTTCCATTTTGTACACCGAAATTGTTTGACTGAATATGGATGGCAGGTTTTGCATGGGAAGTTGCGTGAGTGTGGTGTTAAAAAAGCAATCCAGGCAATGCCTTCAAAAACTCAAAGCTGCTAGAAGCAGAGAAGGGAGTAGTCCTTATCTGTGGGTTTCACCTTAAAGAGTATTCTGGGACAATCAAGAGTAAGACTGAATGGATTGGCATAACTGATTGGTGTGCCTTGACCTACCCATATAATATCAGTTTCTTAATAAGTTAGCCCACTAAGTCAATCCTTAAAAAAAAAGAAAAAGTTTATCTGCAAAATATTAACGTTTCAAAAATGGGTTTATCCTAAAGGTTTACCTAAAATAAAACTATAAATTTATTTGATCTGTAGAAAAATTCCAGGCCTCTGATGTAAGCAGAAGATGGTTATCTAATTTGTGATAATGAAATCTCCCAGGTAATGAAGTTAATTTTAATTGTGTTCTTTCAAAAATGAGAGAATAAAAAATATTGAGTTTTAAGAGACTTATATTTCAAATAAACTCAAGAGACTAAGGGACACAAAATCTTTTAGTCTTTACTTCTGAGAAGATATCTATGCTGATGCAATTTCCAAATCAAGTGCAGGAAACACCTATGAATTAATCATCCATTTCCTCTTTTGCAGCCATAAACATCTTTTCTCAAAAGTGAAGTCAGTTCATTAGACCTGAGCAATTTAGCTTAGTTTGTTAGGACCTTAACGGGCAAAATGTGGAAGAGATACAGTTTTTAAAAATTATTAGATCACCACATAAAATAGTAGATGCTAAAAATGACAGGGATGTGACTGGAATTTCTAGGGGTTGTCACTTTTCCTGGAGGCCTCTCAGTCCGTCTGTAGTGGTAGAACCACCATTATTGCAATAATGTAGTAAGGAGCAACCATTTTTAAGCCTTATCCCAGGTCATTTATAAAACTTACACCCCGTGAAGTGAATTAAATAACTTCTTTGCCCTAATCTTTCTGTTTCCAATGTAGCAAGCCCTCAGAGACAGGGATTTCTTTTTTTTTTTCTTTTATAGTTTATTGTCAAGTTGGTTTCCATATAACACCCAGTGTTCATCCCAACAAGTGCCCTCCTTCATGCCCATCACCTCTTTTCCCTTTCCCCCCATCAACCCTCAGTTTGTTCTCAGTATTTAGGAGTCTCTTATGGTTTGCCTCCCTCCCTCACCTTAACAATTTTTTCCCCTTACCCTCCCCAATGGTCCTCTGTTAAGTTTCTCCTGTTCCACATATGAGTGAAAACATATGGTATCTGTTTTTCTCTGCCTGACTTATTTCACTCAGCATAATACCCTCGAGTTCCATCCAAGTTGCTACAAATGGCCAGATTTCATTCATTCTCATTGCCATGTAGTATTCCACTGTATACATAAACCACATCTTCTTGATCCATTCATCAGTTGATGGACATTTAGGTTCTTTCCATGCTTTGGCTATTGCTGAGAGTGCTGCTATGAACATTGGGGTACATGTGTACAGGTAGGGATTTCAATGTCCATCTAGAGATCTTTTCAAATTTCTGATCAGGAAGTCCACTGGAGACAACAGTTTGCTGGAATCTTTCATTTTTATCAAATAGAGAATAAATGCAGTCTGGATTTTTTAAGTAGATTGTCTCAGGGTGAATTTTTCCCAGATTGAATCCTTTTGTGTTTGGTGGAACATATGTTTTTCCTGTAAGACACATGTTGGTGTCTCCTGTTTTCACAATGAGAAACAGCTATAAAGTCTCTAAAGAGAATACTCCTGGGTTGAAAACTACAAGATGCTGAAAACATTGAGGAAAAGCTATAATTTAAATTAAAGAAGTAATTGCATGCGTGACAACTCCATGCCTGAGTCATGATATGAGGAAAATGATCAGCTTCTTTGTTTTTGTGGAGAAAAAGAGAATAAAAGAAAGCTCGATATAACAGCAAGTATTCTAACATATATTTACTTATAATGTAAAGAACATTGACTAGACACCAACAACCTGATAAGAACTGTGTAAAACTAATTAGGAATGATAATCCACCTTCACTTTTGTCTCTTTTTATAAGTTTACAATCTGACTCCTGTATTTGGGAAAACAAAACAATGAAAAAAGAATGAAAAATCTTAACTGGAAGTGGATTTGTGAACATCTTTCAGTAAAAGTAGAACATTGTGGAGGGAAAAGGCAAAGAGGAACATTGCCTCTCATTTTATTTTAAAGATTCTTATGGTATTGAAATGGAATAGTGAACCAAGGCCTGACAAGTGACACAATTCAGACAATATTTTGGAGTCATGTATACCATAGACTGAAACTTCCCACAGATGTACCTGTAGAGGGACACCTGAGTTGTTCAGTAGGTTAAGCATCTGACTTTGACCATGATGTCAGGGTTCTTGAGTTTAAGCCCTCCATCGGGCTCTGTGCGGACAGCCCATAGCCTGGAGCCTGCTTTGGATTCTGTCTCCCTCTCTCTTTGCCCCTCCCCCACTTGCACTCTGTCCCCATCTTTCTCTGTCTCTCTCTCAACAATAAACATTAAATAATAATAATAATAATAATAATAATAAAACAAATTCCTATAGAGGTGAAAGCCCAGAGGACAAATCTACTCTCCACTCTTTTATGTAATTAGTTCTCTTTAGCATGGTCAGTAAATATTGTCAAAGATAAGCTGATTTGACCTGCTTGAAAAGTGAAATTTGTAGTGAATTAAGCCGTGTACCACTACATGGCACCAAACTGGTTGATTTAGTTGTCATTAGGGACATGTCTAAAACAATAAGCTGATCTGCTGTTTAGAGATGACCTCAACATGATTTTTAAATCTTGGCTCTCTAGAAATCAGTGGCAGATATTAGACTATATTGTGTGTGCTTTGGGGGGCTTGGTGTTTCAGTTAGCCTAGCATATGACTCCTAACCATCCATGGCCCCTGCTCCTCCTTCCACAACTGGTATTTTAGCACAACTCTGAGAAGCATAATGGCAAATACTAAATGTGCTACTCTGAGCATGCCCAGATGTGGGCAGACAGTGTTTTCACTCTTAGGAAAAAGCCTTTTTTTCCTCCTGTGAGGTATTTTAATTTTCCTTGGGAAGTGTGTGTGTGTGTGTGTGTGTGTGTGTGTGTGTGTGTGTAATATATAGGTCCAAATATTTTATTTTACATGTTTAAATATCCAGTTATGACAGGCTAGACAGGATTTTTAAAAGTGTGTCTCAGGAACACTGGCCCACTAGATGCAACAGTCCACAAGAAAAAAAAAAGTTTCACGGTCAAATAAGGTTGAGTTGTTGACTTTCCTAGAGATTTACACTATTCATTAGCATTTTGAAGCCTTGGATAAATTCTGAAGCGTATTTAACTGTGTTTAATGCAGTGTTTTCCAAAGTAATTTGATGGTGCAACCATTTTATTATGTAAAACATATTATTAGCCCACAGAATAATATCTTATAAAGAATATTGTGGGGAAATGATTGTCCAAAAAGGTATTCAAAGAATAGGTTATTCAAAGAATAACAGCTGGGCATTTCAATTACAAATTGATTTTGCTACAGGACATCAGTGGAAGAAGATTCCTCTGAGCATCAGTCCCCAGGAAATAAGTAGACAGAAGGAAAGGATTGCTGAACAACCTCTAGAAGAGAAAGAAGAGGAGGACAGGAAGAACAAAGCTCACCAGGCAACTGAAATTGAATGGTTGGGATATCGGAAATCTAGCCATGTTGATGTGTTGCATTCTAAACATGAGGAGGAGCAAAAGGTTTGGGATGAAGAAATTAATAATGATGATGATGGTGATTGCGATGAAGATGAAGATGAAGTTCGAGTGATAGAATTTAAGAAAAAGAATGTTGAAGATTCTCAATTAAAAGAAGAAGGCAATGCAAATGAGGACTCCCCACTGAGCAGCCCCAGTTCCCAACCTGTGACACCTGATGAGCAGCCAACCTTTGGGAAGAAGAGTGATATCTCCAGAAATGCTTATTCAAGATACAATACAATATCCTATCGGAAAATCAGGAAGGGGAACACCAAACAAAGAATTGATGAATTCGAGTCAATGATGCATTTATAAACTAAATGGAACTGAGAAGTTCTTGCGCCTACTAAAGCAAAAGCGAATTCTATTTTCCTGAGATGCATCTTTGCATGCCCTATTTGAGTCATCCCCTTTAAAGGTGTGAGAGCTTAATCCCTACTTCACTGTAGAATAATAGGGAAATAATCCTAGACAAAATTCAGTCCGGTAACCTCAAATCAAAAAGCTTTAGTTTCATTCTTGGGCAGTTGTCTTTTAAAATTTTACTAACATAGCCTTGTGCAGTTAGCACTAAACAGCAAACAGCAAGCACTCCTGGAGAATGTGTCATGATTTGGCTTTAAAAGTAGCAACACTGGGAAATACAGTCTTCAAATGAAAGACGACAATTAGAAATGATTTGTATTTCTTTGGTATCTTTCTTCCTGTACATGGAGGGTGCTAGAAAGTCTGGTACAGTTCTCTTAATTTCAAATATGCTTTTATAGACTCAGGCCATAAGTTTCCAAAATACTTTGCCTTTCCTATTTTCTTCAGAAAAGATTTTAAGTGGGTTTCTTTGGCATCTACAGAATGAAAACTCTGTATAGACCTCCTTCGTAGGTGTTGTCATTCACTGACTTTTCTCACTAGAGGGGCTGAGCAATAGCCAGTCAGGACAATTCTGTTGACTAAATGTTGGCTTTATGCTCTCAGGATGAATGACATTCATTGTGAGGTTGGTACAAGGAGGGGCTAAAAGATGGGTGGACAGTAGATTAAAGAGTCAGATAGTTTATTTCTGTTGACCGAAAATAAAATCTTGTCTAGCACCATTAAAGTCATTAGAAATGAAAATGACAGCTTTAGCGTGATTTTAAGAAAATATCCCTCTCTATTACCACGCCTTCTCTTATTAACAATATCTCAGAAGAATTTTCCTTCCTTAGAAACCCAAGATAACTCTCGTCATAACTGTACTAGTTACTATGAAAATGGAAATAATTATCTTAGGATATTTTCAAAGTAGAGCGTGAGCATGTATTTTTAGTGAGAAAGCTCTGATAGTTGTTGGGAATATATAATTTACTGGACCTCAGCCCAAATCAAGATGCTTAAAATTGTACTCATGGAAGTTCATTCAAACTAGTGTGTCAAATAATGTATTGAATATTTATGAAAAGGGAGAGTCTATATTTATATTCTTAGATAGTTTCATACTTTTTCATTTCATGCTTCCATATATATCACCCTGAACTTTCTGTCACCACTGTTAAAGATATTTTTGGCCCAGCAAATAAAAAGACAATTCCTTATTGTCTGAATGTAATACAGTCTTCATTGTACTATTCAACCCTTTGTTTATTTCTTTTTCATTTTGTGAAAAACGCTGGGTGAGCCCTTCTTAGATTATTGCTTATTTATGTGTAACAAATCCTGCACATTCTAATGGCAATTTCTTTAATTCTTCCTGGTCATATAATATATTTTCATGGTATCAAGTGCTATTATTTACTGTTTACAAGACTCAATTTTGAATTCAAGATTGAAGTGCTCCTTTTATTCTTTCAAACAGATATTTTGCAACCTGATCATGTAAAAGTTCTGTCGCTCTTCATCTGTGGAACTTACAGATTTCATTCTTGACAATGCAAGTTTTCAGAATAAAGCCAGGGAAATCAGGTCGTTACTGATAAATTTAGGTAGAACATTGGTGTACTAGGACAATTTCCTATTTATTGAGATCCTCTAAATCATCCCACCTGGACAACCTATTTTATTTTCTGGATTACTGATGACCCCTACAATTTTCTACTTAACTCCAAAACACAGTATTGTGTTATCCATCATGGAATAGGAGCATATTGTTGACCTACCATCAGCAGAGCCTGTATTGTGAACTGTTCCAGCAGAAGTATTGAATCCCTGTGGAATCTCTTTGAGGTGGGTGGTCTATGGCTCATCTACATAGTGTGACATGGCCAAGAGACCAGCTCTTATGGAGATCCAACACATAGTAACTGTGGCCTTTTTAGCTTTGTGCTCTTACCATATAATTAACCAACCACAAAAGATTTTGTCAACAAAGATGTTTTCAGGGTATGCTCAATGAGTAAACGCTTAATGCTCATGGAGGAGGGAGTATAGTTGCAAAAGAGCACTGAAAGTATTCTTTGACATTAATGCCCACTGCCCTGTGTTGCCATCTTACACGAAGGCCACAGAGTTAAGTGGTTATAAGTAACAAGATGGGGTTAGATGATTGTTTGATTCTTTGTAACTAGGAAAGGCAAAGGTGTGATTCAGATTGCATGAGGGATATTTAACATATTAGACACTCCTACGGGATAAATTAGAATGCAAATTGGTAATTATACCAGAAGATTTACTGCTTTTGTGATTCAAGCTTTTCAGGTGGAAGGACTCTGGTACCTGTAGGAGGGAAATTGGTTTATTGTGATATATTATTATATGTTGATATTTCTTACACGAGTTTTAATTTTTCTTAGTTTTTGGGTGAACAGGAATTAATAAAAGCTCTATTTCATTGTCATTATAAAATTCACCTTTCATATAATGCTACATTTGAAGACATGAGATATGTCTAAGTCTATCATCTGTCTACAATTTAAATAAAAAACTGCTGTGTCTGACTTGCTCTCAATAAAAGTTTGTTCCCTTGTTTTTGGTGTTTAGAATTTATTTTTTTTAGCTGTTTTATAAAATTTGGAAAGATGGGGAGCCTGGGTGGCTCAGTCGGTCAAGTGTCCAACTTCGGCTCAGGTCAATTACGGTTTGTGGGTTTGACCCCCACATTGGGCTCTGTGCTGACGGCTAGCTCAGAGCCTGGAGCCTGCCTCAGATTCTGTATCTCCCTCTCTCTCTGACCCTCCCCTGCTCAAGCTATCTCCCTCTTTCTCAGAAATAAATAAAAACATAAAAAAATTTTTTAAAGAAATAATAAAATTTGGAAAGAGCCCACGCATATCAACAGCTATTAAAGATTATTAATAAGTGCTGCTTTAGATACCAACAGAACACTTTATTTAAAATAAAAAAGCATTATTTATTTCAAAAAGGCCTTAAAACAGCTGTATATAGAATTGCAAAAAAAAAAAAAAAAACCAACTCTGGTGGGTACATAGAATGTTCATAAAAAATCTTTATTACTTTTACAGGAACTGAGCCCTTACTTTAGATACATCTTAACTCCAATAGCTTGAAAAACATATATATATCTTTATAGTCATCAAGGTAATACATTTAAACCGTGATGACACTTTTATAGTAATTGTTTCTGCATATTTACGTGAGGTAGTACTTTTGGCACATTTTCAAATGAAGAATGGACATTTAAGTTTTTCAAAGTGATAGGAAAAACATTTAAAAGATGTAATAATAGAGAATAATGGAAAAAGACGAAGCACCAGAGTATCATAAAGAAGAAATATGTCTGACCATATGAGAAAGGCAACTACTTTTAAAGCCTTAACTTTCATTGCTCTATAAAAACAAGAGGGCTATAAAAAGTTATGTCAAAAGTTACAGCAAACATTTGCCAATATTAAAATATCAGACAGTGACATAATAAATATGAATATCAAAATGTATATATGGCTCATGAAGAAAACCAGGCGACTAAGCCATACCATCAACATAAACACAATGACGTGGGCATTAATTGACAGCTGAAGTCACCGAACAGATACTTGGCAAATTACAAAATCAAAGGACGATACCTAGTAATTAACTGCCAGTGTAGGAGCATTTTGGAAAGGAATTTGGAAAGTAATTTGCACTCTTACTGGGAAACGTAATATTACATATTTGATTCCTTCTTTATAATAAGTCCAGTTGGTCAGAGGCAGAAAAAATGGGTACTTCAAATTGTTCAAATTACTCCAAATTCCTATATACTCCATAGTTTTAATCTTGTTCTCCCACTACAGAAGTCTTCACTAATTTTACCTTTGCCTTCTCTTGTTTTTCTGTCCACTTCTTATAGCTAATATGTATAAAACTTGCAACATTTAGGCAATTGTTTGAAGGAAGGCAATTAAGGAAGGTGCATAATCCTAAATGAATAACAAGCTTCTTGATAATTTAGAGTTTGGTTATACCCTTCACGTACGGAAAACAATACCCAGAGTGAAAGTCCACTGGAGACATTTTTGTCCGGAAGGCCAGATGTGGACAAAGTTGTGCACCTAAAAGTATTCAGAATATCTAAAAACATTTCATAGTTTCCTTTATTTGTAAGTAGAAACTCTTGGTTTTATATTCTCCCACTTCAAAACATAAAATATAGAGCCTCATATATTTTATATGTGTACATATGTATGAATATATACACATATTTATCTATATGAATATATATGTATATGTATACATACATATTTACAAAGATCAATTTTTTTCAGTCAAATAAAGTTAATCTATGCTGTCAAAAATTAGTGTTAATATCTAATACATAGGTTTTGTTTTATATAGATATTTATGCCTAATATCCTTGAACTGGCGAATACCAATCAATAATAAAATAGAAAGCCTTTGTTATCAAAGAAATTATTTACTTTCTTAAACTTCTTTTCTTTTTTTCTGAGAGAGAGAGAGACAACGTGAGCAGGGGAGGGTCAGAGAGAGAGGGAGACACAGAATCTGAAACAGGCTCCAGGCTCTGAGCTAGCTGTCAGCACAGAGCCCGATGCGGGGCTCGAACCCACGAACCGTGAGATCAAGACCTGAGAGGAAGTCGGCTGCCCGACCAACTGGAGCCACCCAGGCGCCCTTATTTGTTACTTATTTGATGGCAACTATCATAATTATAAACTCAACATATTAGAAGTTGCCCTGTTTACTGGAAAATGAGAACTTTCCTGTATGATTTTGCAAAACAATTCTTCACATAAACTTGCAAAGAGACCCTAATTGGGATGGTAACTATTAGCTGCCCCATTAGGTTGAAAACAGAGGCATTAAATTTACTTGTTGTGATGGGATTTTTTTTCCCCTTTTTTTTGGGTACAATCACCACCAACACCTGAAATACCATCCAGTAAACCTCAACAGGAGTATGTAATGCTTACATGGCTTACTCAAACCTGTCCATGGAATGGCTGTTTGCCAAAAATAAGCATTTTGTATATTAGCTTTGGTTACTGTTCCTTTTCTCATTTCAAGGCATGCAGCTTGGAGCACTTTTTGAATAACCCACACAAAAGTTGTAGAAGCACTATGGTAATGATTGACACAATGAAGTAAAAGTTACAAGACTTGGTTTGTATTTGAAATTAAAGGACCCTTCAATGTTTTACTTCTCATCTCGGTTCAAATTGGACAATCTGTCAGCTTTGATTTATGGTTGGTAGAAGAAAGAGTTGGTGGTATTATTTACAGAGAAGGTATTTCTGTATGTTCACTTCTCCTTCTCACATTTGTTATAGGAAATGGAAAAGAGTATGTCCTCCATGAAGTCCAGGAGATAGGCCACTGCAAAACATGTGGGGGTGGCTAACCCTAAGCTTACATTTTGGTTGATCAACAGAAAGGGTGCAGTTTCTTTATCTTATCTATACAACAGCCAACAGAGACCTAAGAAGCTTGACATCACAATGAAGGGATTTTAACTGAGCTCACCTGAGTTGCCTGCCCTACTTATAGAAAAAATAAATCATAGCAGCATGTTGTAGTCAAAGAGACTCTCTTCTTCTTCTCCTCCTCCTCCTTCTTCTTTTTCTTCGAGCCAGATAGAATGGAAACTAAATTTTAATCTCTTTCTCATGGAATGATCTTAGACATTGCCTCTCAGCCATCCTCTTTGTCTGCATAATGCAGAGAAAAAGACCTGAGCTGTGCACAGCAGTGAGGTGCAGCACAAATAGTGCCTAGCACATCATAGGCATTCAAAGATAGTTAGCCCTCATCTCTTTTCCCTTTATTTTCTGTAAATTCTTTGTTTTTATTGAAGATATTGGGACCCTCACCTGCAGTATCATTTCTTTTCTGTGTTTGAACTTGGAAGTTAAAGTTGTTAAAACAAATAAAGCTGGTACTGTCTGGCTGGCCTCAACCCCACTCTCTTGCATGATAGCCCCTTGAAAACCATTCTAAGCCATTCATAAAATCAAGGTAGACTGGGGAAATTGAATTCCTATGTACAGTACCGGATGTCTTTTTGCCCCTCTACAATCCCTAAGGCGATACCATAAGTGAGGTGTTTTCATATCAAGGAGAATATTTCCAGATTAGTTGTGGAGAAGCTAACAATAAATCTTGATTATGGCATATGGTGGTTTGGGGGCCTGTGAATGACAGTTGACTGAATGTCAGCAAGCAGAACTGAGCAAATTTGATGTTAGTGATGAAACATGGCTGTACCAACAATGGATCTGTCATCTTTTAGGGAGAAGCTCTGGGTAACTGTTGAAAAAGAGAAAGGAACTGGGCAAACTAAAAGGTTAAGAGTACTTGGATGGTCTGGTGAATTAGTTTTTGATCAAATAAGTCCTGTGAAATATTACCAAAACTATGCTTGTGTTTCAAGTAACAAAATGTGTAGACATTTTTCTAAGAGACAATGACTCTAGCCAATCCACGGAAAATCTGAAGTCCCTGTAACACTGCCTCCTACTGAAGGATTTAGGTCTGAATAGGACCCTAATGTGTCCCATTCAAGGTTTCTCACTAGAAGTACCAGAGACCTAGCAGCATTTACTCCTTTACTATAGTCTTCTACAGACAAAATTTAGAGGGTAATGCTTAAAAATTTTTGGTAGGAGATTTCACAATTAGTCAATACTCCTAAGCTTAGGACAATAAGATTTCTAACGAGTGATTTTTTCCTTGTATCTCAGAGTAATTGAAAAAATACATGGTAAAAGCTGTTTTTAAAATTCTTTCCAAGAATAAACATGTCACATATGAAAATAATCCTTTGTGATATTGACAATATGGATTCAGATACAGCTTCAGATCCTCATAGTATGAGTATGTCATGGTCAAGTCAGGGAGAGTGTGCTATAGAAGTTTTTTTGGTGAAAAACATTGCCATTTCTTTCATTGGTATGCCGAAAGGTAAGTGTATCCAAACCACATTCATCTTTTTCTGAACAGAGTTGATGTTTTTCATGGAAACGGTTTCTGAATAAAAGGAGAGTCTTTACACTGGGGGCAAAAATAACCCTTTCAACATTTTTGCAGTTACACAAATAATTGCCTGAGGCACTCAGCAAATTCAGTTTGGGTCAGCAATTCAGTTAGTCCTTTGGCTACTGACTTGTGTTTTATCCCCCAACCAGCTCCATTTTGCAAAGAATTGTCTCATTTTCCAGTCATTCTCTTATCTCTTCTGCCATGTCAATTATCAGAACAAAACATCTTAAACACAATGCAAATAGGCAAACCCATTTTCCCTTCTGAGTCATAGTTATAGCTCTGCTTTTGTGTAATTAATTGGGAGATAAAATTAAATTTTAAATAGGAAGTCAGAACTAAAATGCCCAGTTTCACCATCAGCTCAATTGAACAAAGTTTCATTTGTTTTTATATTAACAAGCATACAGCATGGTTACCCTCCAGAGACGCAACCCCAGCAGAAAGGTTTATGTATCTCTTTCTTAAAACGGCTCTGGATCTGATTTGTTTGGGCCAGTGGCTTGGGGCAGTGCAATGAGCCCTCTCTTTGGAGATCCAAATTCTAATCCTTATCTCTCACTAACTAGTGTGAGACTTTTAGACACACAATGTGTCTTTTGGGTATGCATTTTCTTTCCAAAAAAAATCAATATAAATATATTAGGATTTCTAATATGGTATGCCTAAGTATTGGCATACCTAAGACTAGGAGCTTGTTTGGATCAAAGAAAAATTGGACTTTCCCCCCTAATTTATCACTAGGTCCACATCTATGGTCCCGTACCCCACTCCCACTCCCACCATATAGAGGTGCCATATTCCCTTTCTTTTTGGCCAAGTCTAGGCCATTATTTTCTTAATTCTCTTCCTGAGGGTTGCATACCTCATCCTCTTCCCCTTTCATTATGTTTACTTCATTTTATTTCTACTTTGAAATCTTTTCGAGCTTATTTTTGGCATACTTCATCCCTGTGAATGCTGTAAAATCAAAAGTACTATTTTATATAAATAATATTTTTCAGTGCTTTATTTCTTTATTTAAAAATGTGTGTTTATTTATTTTGAGAGAGAGAGAGACAGCTCACGCAGGGGAAAGGCAGCAAGAGCGAGAGCGAGAGCGAGAGAGAGAGACAGAGAGAAAGAGAGAGAGTGAATCCCAAGCAGGATGTGGGGCTCTATCCATCCCATCATGGGATAACGACCTGAGCTGAAATCAAGAGTCAGAGGCTTGACCAACTGAGCCACCCAGGTGCCCCTCAGTGCTCTATTTCTGCTTTGTTTGTTTCAGCTCCTCTTATTTGATCTTGCATTAGAGTGTGTTCAATGAAATGTACTTTTGGTGACTACCGTGCATTGTGACCTAGCCTTTTTCCTTGCCTTTTTTCATTCTTTTTTAATGTCCACATAAATCTAAGAAGTTGCTAATATGATTTTTTTTAAGTGTAGCTTGAAAAGCGCAAAATGAATTAAAACAATATCCATGTCTAGAATTGAATAAGCATTTGACTTCCGCACTGAAATTTTTTTCCACTGACTCAGATGGAGAAAAAACAAAACAGAACAACATTATGTAGTCATCTCGATCAAAGCCCTACCATCAGGGAGTATGATACTGATACTTTTTCACACTGGTAGGTGAACATGTGTGTAGTTAGGAGGGACTTTATCAAGATGGCAGCTGTGTGTGTTTCTAAGGTCTTTTCACCATAAGATCTCAAGCAATTTTTTTATTAAAAATAGTAAATAAAGGACTAGGTTCTCATTGATTATACCAACTTGTGAGGCCCAAGGAGCTGGTTATTAACAGACTCAGTCATCATGAATATCACAGTGCTTCCTCCAGTACTTTTGGCTTCATTTCCAGTTACCTGTTTGATCAAATGGGGAAGCTTGCAGGCTGAGGTCCAGCATAGGGCAGGAAGCAGGCAATTCAAAAGGCCAGTGAGAGCTGAAGGAGGACTCCAATCCAATGGTAGACCATTTCCCTGAGCTCACTTTGGGTTTTTCAACTATTGTGAGTTTTTTAATCTCCTATTCAAATGCTATTAATTTTGAGAATGTAAACTACCATGGAGAAACATGGTACCCACATCCACTGTCATTTTCACAGTGCCTAATGGGCTTACTGGATAAAAAAATATTTGTTGTTCTTTAGTCTTCATAGTATTTTTCAAATTTCCACTTTTGAAACTGCTTCACTGGGTCACAAGCAGCAACTTTCAGGGTCTTCTGAGAAACATTTCCTTCTAAGCATAACAACTGATGATCATTTTCAAAAACAATGTGATTCACCTGGAAAGAAAGAGGATCTGGGAATGAGCCACAGAATGAATTTGACAACTGAAATATAAAGAAATAAAAACTGATAAAAAAAAGATAATTATTATATTTTTGATTCCTTAGAAATTCTTCTTTGGACTGTATTAAATTTGTCTCTATCTCACTTTCCCAAGCTATGGGCCTGTTAAGACTTTTATGACTGCCTCAGGGAGGAGGCAAAAGATTTATTTTCTGACAATAGGCTTGATAACTCTGTTATTTAAAGGAAATAATTCCATACGGCATTTACTGTATTTGATGGATGATGGCTCTCTAACCGATGGTAATCATGAAAAAATACCCATCACAAAAAGTGTGTTAGTTAATTTCTTAATTAAGAATTTTTTAATTAATTAATTTCTTACCTTAGAATGCAAGCTTGAAATACAAAGTGCTAGAAATGATGTATTTATTTATAAATACCATAATCTTCCCACCATAATCTCTGACAGCACATAATGCCTGCTGTCCAGAAAATCCAGATGTCATTAGAAAAAAGTCAAAGGTATTTCAGAGAAGTTCTATTGTTGGTTAATATTTACTGACTTTCTTAGAAATTATGGATAACCAATGTAGAACATGCTTATGGCTTTATATATTTTTTCACTTGTTAATCCTCTCAATTTTCCATGACTAGGACAAAGATAATCTTAATTATATGTATATTGTTTTGAAGTATTTTGAAAAATATATCAAACAGGGGTGACTTCATAGTTTGTTTTAAAAATGGTCCTATAAAAACATTGTCATCTTTATAAGGATATGGCAAGACGATGTTTGAATATGCTGAAGGTTTTGTAAAGGAGTTGGCCTTGAGCAAAATCATCCTGGATTATCTATAGTATTCTGCCAGTGGATTGTAAAGCAGTCACTGAACAATTTGTCCTCAAACTAAAGACACTTGATGAGGGAACCAGTGGCGGGGGGACATTCCATGCCCCAGTAGTTAGAAGCTACCTATGAAATGATTTCCTTTCCATAATCCAGAGGATTTGGGTGCTCTGGCTTAGAGAATATCTTTTAAATGCAGATTGGAGATATATAATTTTAACAATGCATTGGTATTCAGGGTCAAACTCATTATTACCCTACTTCTTTCCATGAAGCTCTCAACTACTAATGCTAAAAGGAAAGACATGTTCCTATTATTCATAGTCTTTTTCTCCATTTCTCGTAACATGCCTTGAAGGACTCAGGACGTTTAGTATGAAAACTACCAAAATACTGAAAAAATAAGGAAGACTATTATTAAGATATTCATCTCCATGACATCTAGCAGCATGGAAAGGGGCACTTAAGGCAGAAGGTAGATATGTGATATGATACAAAGTCACAGGCACAAACAATGTTGGGAAACAGTGATCCAAGTTTTGCCATCTTAATTAAATTACTCTCTTTACAAACTGGCTTACCATTTAGAAGGACCAAAAATTAAGCCTACATAAAAATCAGCTGATGAAGGCTTAGGTTCTCAATGGGGTCAACCCAGTCTGTAAATAAGACTTGTGTGGTTTATGGGCTGCTTTCTTCTAAATATTTTCTCATCAGTGTGAAATATTTTCTGGTAACAGATTTACTTCTGCAGATGAAAAATGTGTTCTCATTCTTATCTTTTCTCTCCCCTGAACCCACTACTTCCCTCACCCTCCAACCCCTACCCCTTGCCACCACTTCCTGCTTTGTTTGGCATAAGATTAAGGAAGTCAAAGGACATATTCAATAGATGTTTATGGATTTTCGCAACACCATGCAACATAAAATTAGTAACTTGTACACTAGTAATTTCTCATTTTTCTGAGTAAGTCAATAATAGTCATTATTGCTAAAGAGAAAAAAATGTCTAGAAGGAATGAAATATAACAGAGAAGATTAAAAGGGAGGAAGATTGGGAAGTGTGTTGCTCAGCCCCTGATTTCGACCCTGAGCAGGAAGAAAAGGTCATAAAGGGAGTAGTCATTGGTTGTGACACCAAAAGGAATGGAGGTACCCTAAGGAGAAAAGAAGTGTGCTTACTCTGGGGACAGTCCTGAGCAAAATGATGGACTTCATGTACCCAGCGCATTTTGTGGATATGGTGGCTACTTGCTAGTGAAAGAGTAGAAACTTTAAGAAGGTCAGTCTGAAAATATTCTTGCCACCCAAGATCTTATACTAAAGCTTATGATTTTGTATCTTGTTAGAATAGAATTGGGGAAGGGCACCCAGGTTGCTCAGTCAGTTAAGCGTCTGACTCATGATTTCAGCTAAGGTCATCATCTCACAGTTCCTGAGATCAAACACGGTGTCAGGCTCTGTGATGACAGCATAGAGCCTGCTTAAGATTCTCTCTTCCTCTCTCTCTCTCTGCCCTCCATCATTCATGCTCTCTCTCTCTCAAAATAAATAAACTTTAAAAAATAGAATTGAGGAAAACTGTCAGGACTTTGAGAGTGAATAGGATATAGCAGGGATGGTCTAGTAAATATTAACAGCTGGACCTCTGGATAAACACCCCTGGATATGTAGCATGTGTTTACATAAATACTCCCATCATGGCTGGTTTCAAGCTACCAATGTAATGTCATTGAATGTGAAGTTGGCAAGTTCACACAGCACACAATTATCTCCTACAAGCTGGTGGGAGCTGGCTTCAACACTTGTTGAGAGCCCAAATCTCTGGGAGCCAGGAGAGATGAGGAAAAGTCACCCCTTATGGAAGAGAGGAAAAATGCAAAAAAAAACAAAAAACAAAAAAAAAAACCACCCCACAGCAATCAGATTCATACTAAAGTGAGGCCTTGTATAAAGCACACTGCTTCTTGTTTTCCCCATATACTCTCTTTGTAGACTTTTCTAGTGACCAGTGAGAACCAATTCTAGCTTATAAGCATTATTTTTGTCAGTCTTAGTTGACTGAAGCAAATGACTTATAGAAACAAAGATGCTGATAATAATGTAACCAAGGAATCTGGTGACTTGTATTTAAAATAAACTGTTTTCAGAATTTTTTAAATGTTTATTTCTGATCTAGAGAGAGAGACAGAGTGCAAGCAGGGGAAGGGCAGAGAGAGAAAGAGAGAGAGAAAGAGAGAGAGAGATGCAGAATCTGAGTCATCAGAGCCTGAGGCAGGACTCAAACCCACAAGCCGTGAGATTGTGACCTGAGCCGAAGTCAGAGGCTTAACCGACTGAGCCACCCAGGCACCCGACATAACCTATTTGAAATAAATTCTGTAAAAGAAAAAAAGGACTTTGCAATTTACAAAAAATATCTGTTTATCTCTCTGTATGAACTTTTACATTGCCTCGATTGTCACCAACACATTTAAAGATTCTGAGCGAGGAAGCCGACAATGAGAGTTTATGTCCCATTTAATTGGAAGTTGGATTTGTGATAAAGAAGAGGTATAAATATTTTGCTTACCAGTTCCGGCTGAAAGACTGATGTTGATTTATGCAGCCATTTTAGCCCTTTGTTTCTGTTATCACAAGGGTGCAGCCTCAGGGCCCCGGTATCAGGGACAGGAGCTAAGCACCACTCTTCATGCTTAATAAGTCTTAGCCAGGTATAATTAAATTGTTGAAGCTGTCAGGAGATGAATAAAGAAAAGGTCACTTTCAGCAGCAAACACAGGTAGGGTTTGCTGTTTGTTAAACAATTTTGTTAGCAATGGTTAAGGATATAGGCACTTTGATCAAATGTTTGATCAAATCCTGGTATTGCCACTTTCAGTTCTCATAGTATGGGCATATTATTACCATATCTCATTTCATTTTTGTCATTTTTAGGTTGGATAGCAATAGTGTATATCTCTGAGAGCTGAGGTGATGACTATTAAGTGTCTATTTAGAACACAGTAAGTCCCCAATAAATGTGAGTTGCAATAATAAAAATTATTTAGTATAGATAGTACATATGTGTAAATGGAGGTCATTTCAGGTAACTCTGAATTGCAGATAACTCTGGTGCTTGAAGGTCACTTCAGGTAACTCTGAATCCCAGATAACCTATAGCCATTAGGGCTACAAGGAGGTCCAAGTCACAGTCCGAAATTACTTTGGTGGACATGATTATGCTTCTTTAAGAGTATCTAGATTACTGGACTCCTAGAGGCTTTGTAGGAAAGGTTCAACATCTTTCTTAAGGGTGAAAAATGTTTCTAGTGTACAAGATGTTACAAATCTTTCTCTGCTGATAGCAGAAAGACTCATCAGGCTCTGCTCTGTTAACACCCCCTAGTTCATTAGAACTACTCTTGCAGAAGTCCAGTTTTGGAGAATTGTCGGTGTCTAAAATAACTACTGATTCAGGTAATGAAACCATATTTTCGATTTTTGTAAGTATTTTCTCCAGTTATTTACAACCTAGTACTATCTGCCTGGTCAACTTACTCTATGGCTCTGGCTCTGTGAGACATTTGTTGTTTTACACCAATATAAACAAAAAATGGACTTCTGGTAGAATCTATCTAAATGTCTTTATCTAGTGAATCATTTGTACCGTAACTGAGGTTTAAGTTAGAGTATCATGTTTGTCATTGGGTTAGACTTCACCAGTCAAAGGGGATGTTCTGGACCAACATCAGCATCACCTGGGAGCTACTTGGAACTGCTGAATCTCAGTCCCACTATGAACCTATTGAATCAGAACCTGTATTGTAACAAACTTTTCAGGTGATTTCTGTGCACATTAAAATTTGAGATGCATAGTCTCGTTTCACAGTAGTATGTGGCTACAAAGAGAAGCTAGATATTGCCTTTAAAAGGGCCATCTCAACTGGTTGTAAAGTTAATAGTTAATGAAAAGTTAATCGGGGACTTTTTAGGTAAGGTGAAGGATAGAGCTGGGTGGTCCAATCCTAGAAATTTATTCCTTTCGAGCTTTTTTTGGATGAATGTTATTAACTGGCTTGGTATAAAGTTTAGTTAATTCTGCCCAAAATAAGTTAACTTCCTCCAAGTTTCCCTTCCTTGCTATTATTCAAACAAACTATAAGAAGCAGAAGCTAAAAATGAGTAACAAGACAAAAAGGGAGATGGGTGTTTTTGGAAAGTAAGGGGCTGCATATTCATATTTTCAACTCCTAAAATCCCCTTGAGAGACTCAGTGGTTATCCAGACTACAATATGGGTTTTCAGATAAAATACTGGTTAATCAGGTATGGAAAATCACTAAAATGGCAAGTCTTGAAGGATTGAGTTAAATAATATTTTGCTTTCATATAATTTGAACTCCTTGTGGTTTTATGATTTATGACTTTATTTCCTCTTTGAATGGTTAATATGTAAGTTGTATATTTCCAATGATTTTTGACACATTTCTCTTCCCTCTACCTCACTTCTTTCGTAATTAAAAGAGAGTTCCTTTAGCTTCAAGTTGATAATCCTTAGCTGAATTATAGCAACGCAGATGACAAAAATGCCTTTCTTCTAGCTTTGAATTAAGAGGAGAGAGGAAATGTGCTAAAAAATATAAGCAATATCTCTTAGTCAAAGCAAACAAGTAAGACTGGGGAAGCCTACATTGTCATCACAAAAAAAATTTCTTCACCAAAGAGTGATCTAGAACTTTAGGAAGCTGAGTTGTACTCATGTATTGATGTTCCTATGAGTTTTATTTGGCACTCAAACCAATAATATTCCCACAAAATGAGGATGCGTAGGAACACACGTTGAAGAGGAGACCCCGTCACTCAGAGCTCACCTCCAGCACTGCAGAGTCCTTGCCCTGTTCTCCTGGGCCCCCCTGCCTCCCCTAACTGTTGAGTTCTGAGTTTGTCAGAGATTTGTTGAAGGGGTTTCCATCATGGATCATGGATTATGTAATTTGCATTACTCCCTTATATGTACGAGAATGGGGAAAAGGGGGCTGAATCAGAATAAAATTTCTCCTTTAGATTATTTGAAAAAATGTTCTTCCTTTATTTCCTTTCTTATTTTATCTTTACATGTAACTTTTTTATTTTTCATGCTTTGTGTGTCCATTATGATAATAGTGAACATGTGTGGAGCACTAAGTGTTAAAAATTGTGTTACATGCTTCATCTGTATCACATAATTTGATCCTTAGACCTGCTCGGTCTACTTACCTAAAGGTTAAAGGATTTGCAAAGTTAACACACTTTTGAAAGCAATGGAGGCAGCATTGGATCCCTGGTGGGTTAACTTCAGTACCCACACTTTTACTCCCTTGCTCACTATCTGTACATTTAGTGGCGAGTCCTCTATCACCAACCTTATGATTATGTAGAAATTTATAAATTAATTATTGTTTGTACAGGCAAAAATAAATTTCTCAAGTGAGTGGTAAATGTACCATACCTTGCACTTATCAACTACACCTGGGCTGTCTATTAACTGCACTGTGATGAGAGAGGAACATCCCCCGCCCACCCTCCCAGCCCAGGTACCTTGCTGCTTCCATCACAGTCTTCCAAAGTGGTTGTGGTGTTTTCAATGGAAATGCATTTGCCCAAGGCCACATTAATAAGCTAGGAAGCAAAATATAAAATATGCATTAAGAAAGAAAAAAATATTTTAAAGTAGAACAAGACATTCAGAAAACACAGATGATAAAACTATAATAAGGTTAAAAGATAGTTAAGTTGATAGCCTAGCATACTTAGCACTCTACGATTTTATTGGTTGCTATCTCTAACAGAGACATAATGTAATCTTGCTAAAGTACAGCTTCAATCTGTCAATTTAGGCCTATGATTCAGCCACAGAGCGAACAAACAGAAGCTTTTAATTAACCCTTGCCTGGAATGCTGAATAGGGAATGAGCAAAAGGTAGCACGAGAAGTAGTTATTTTCTTGTCTCAAGTTTTTCTGATGCATACATTAAAAGTCGATGCACATACTTGCAATTTAATCAAACCAACATTTATGGGCTCGGTTCCCTGGCTGACCCCTCCAAGCTATTTCATTCCTAACACACTGAATCATAGATAAATTGAGTCCTTCAAAGAACAGCAGATTCCAGCTGATTCCCTGTCAGAATCTTCCTAATGACTCAGGCAAACTACAATTCATTATAGGGAAGTCATGAAAGCTAGTACAGAGCCTAGCTTAAAGGCACTCTCTAGCAGGACCCCCCCACCCCCAGGTTTTTAATGGGTTTACGGGGTCAAATATGGAGGCAGCTTTCTATAAGTCACCATTTAATGCAGAAAAATGTTGATTCCCTTGCTCTCTTTGACATCTTGGCCAAGGCTAACGAGATGGTGAGTTAATAGTGCAATTTAGACTTCTTAGATTTCCCGAAGAGCTGTGTCGAGTCACATCTACACTCAGGAAAGCCTTCTGAGCTGGAAGTGGGGGGAAGTTTGTTGGCAGGGACACTTTTTGTGCCCCCTCCTATTCCGTTGTGCCTAACACAGAGCTCTAACTCTGGGGTGCTTTATGATGCAACTGTCTAGCTTAGAGTTGCAAGCCTTCCTAACAGCATGCTCAATAGTTGGTCCTCTCTTTTACATGCATAGCTTAGATTGCAAGAAAGTAAAGCAAAATTCAGGGAACACAAAATGCAGAAAACAAAACAAAACCTTTTAGCAAATGGGAAAATTGGTAATTCTGGTAAGCAAGGGACCAGTATTGTAAGGACCAGGAGAAAAACTTGGGCATGGGTAAGCCAGAGAGTTGAAATTGCCGTCTTTCACATAAAGGTGGGCAACTCTAGACCCTCAGTAGAATGGTGTTCTGGGGAAAACCATTTACCCAGTGGCACAGGGAGACAAACAGGAAAGCTAGATTTTCTCTTGGAAATCTGAAACTTACATTGACCTTCATTTGGGTTTGAAGTGCAAGTTTAACTACTTGCATTGGATAGGAACTTTGACAGACATAAAAATAGTGTCAGGGTGGTTACTTCTAAGGTGGCTGGCATGGAAAACAACTCCAGAAAGACAGAATGTCCATCAGAAATCTTCAAAGAAAGCTCTATTCACAATTTAAAGTGACAAATATGGGAAGAGACAATCCACCACTAGTCAATGGAACAGTCAGGACACAGAGAAGGAATCAACTTCAGAGAAGAGATTTAACAGAAATGCATTGAAGTAGGATAATCCTAGAGATTATAGAGGGGAAATGCACTCCAGTTGTTCTCTGGATTTTAACCGAGATAAATATAAACTTCTGTATTTGTGGGTTACTCAGAAAGAACACATCTTCCCACGTGTTTGGAAAACTCTGGCTTTACTACAGCTGAACAGGTTGTACTTCTCCAGAACCTTGCAGAACCTCCAGTACGTTAATGTTTAGTTGTCTGCTATAAGAGGGAATGCAGTGTGTTTGCCAAATATATTTGGCCCTGGGATCTTATTTCTGGCAGCACAATTAACATTGCCCAGAGCGGTGTATGGGAACCCTGGGTTTCACTAATTACTTTGTATTTATTTTGTACAGTCCCTTCTGCCAAGCATGGAAAATCATTGGATGGAAGGAGAAAATTTTTCTTTCCCTTACTTACCACTCCTCCAAGTTTTCTGAAGCTTTGTTTCCCTTCCTCCCTATCAGAGATTTTTGGAGAAACTGCTTTTCTTCACATAGAAATGATCTATGAAGTGCTAAGGAGTTGTTATTCTTTATTGACTTCTGAATGGTTTTAAAAATTGACTTGTATTCAGGGACACGTGGGTGGTTCAACAGGTTGACTGAGTCAATGTCTGACTCTTGATTTTGGCTCGGGTCATGATCCCAGGGTTGTGGGATCGAGCCCCACCTCCGGCTCCATGCTGAGCATGGATCCTACTTGAGATTCTCTCTCTCTCTCTCTCTCTCTCTCTCTCTCTCTCTCTCTCTCCCCCCACTCTGCCTGTCTTCTGCTCATGCTCCTTCTCTGTCTCTCTCAAAATAAATACATAAACTTTTTTTTTAATGTTTTATTTATTTCTAGGAGAGAGAGAGAGACAGCGTGAGCAGGGGAGGGTCAGAGAGAGAGCAGGAGTCACAGACTGAAACAGGCTCCAGGCTCTGAGCTGGCAGTCAGCAGAGAGCCAGACGCGGGGCTCGAACCCACGAACCACTAGATCATGACCTAAGCGAAAGTCAGATGCTTAACCGACTAAGCCACCCAGGCGCCCCAATAAATACATAAACTTAAAAAATTATACTTATGTTTTTATTGTAAACCATTTCAATCTTTTTTTTTTAACCAGGCAGTATATAAACTTTTCAATTTTTTTTCAAAATTTATCCGTTTTGAATTACCTCATTTCCAATTTAGGAGGTGGAGTTACCCACAGTTTATCACAGAATTTGCTAACCATTAGGCTATAACTTGTTTACTAAGCGTTTAAACCAATATAAATACACATTATTAGTGAGGTTCTTTTATTCATTAAATATTTTTGGTTCAATAAGATATGATAGGTTCTTATGAAAAAGAAAAGAAAACAAACAAACGAACAAAAACCTTTTTCACTGGATTTAAATTCCTAAGTGTATACCCTGAAGGAAGGGAAAAGATGGAGCAAATGACAAAAAGTTGTAAGTTTTTTGAGACTTTCCAAGACTATCCATCGAAAATAATGGTTAACTTAGTCTTAGTCTGAAATGCCTATTGAAAGGTTATCTGTCTATCTATCTATCTATCTATCTATCTATCTATCTATCTATCTATCTATCTATCTAAATGGTAATAATGCTCCCTCCTGGTGGCTTCAGAAAGGAGCAAATGACATCTTGATTATAATTAGTTTAAGGAAGACAACAAACAGAATTCAAAAATATAATTTAAAAATATTTTGCGCATTTTAATATATTATAGCTCAGGGATCAGCAGGCTATTATAAAAGAACTCTTCAAAAATTTCATGGGACCTCTTAGACACATTAGCCTCACAGAGGAGGCAAAAGATAGTTTTTTAGTTCCCTCTGGTGGTTAAAGTTCGGTAATGCTCTTGCTGAGATTCTGTGTTAGGACAGGGTATGGTGAGAATTTCTCTTTTCTTCACTCAGGAGTTGAAATAGAAAAAAAGTTTATTTTACAGACACATTGTTTGAACAGTGTATAAATTCATGGTGTTCTTCCTAATGAGTTACCTAGAAAAAAGTATCAGGTTGAACCACCTGAAATAGCTGCTATTCTATCTTGACCTACAAAGATGTTAATTTTATACTACATAATGTTACAAACAGGTCACTTTTACTAACTTGTCAATTGAATTTTCAAGTTTCCTCTTTTTCATACTCTCCCAGGATCTCCCCTACATTGTCAGGGAGAATAGCTCTGCTATCTCCTTGCCATCAGGAAATTTCCTAGGCAGAGAGTGATTCGTTTGAATAATTCAGTTTCTAGGGAGAATTGAAAAAATATGGCCTAAAATAACAGGCTTACTGATGGTCAAGTCTGAGAGCCTCTTGCATGAAGAAAAAGAAAACTCTGAAAGAAAATAAAATAATACTAAGAATATTTAGAAATAAAAATTAAATGAGAAAACAGTAATGCAGATTAAAATATGCATGACTGGGAAGAGCTCTAGGTCAAGTCTTGACTAATCACCTCTAAACCCATTTTATGATAAATATCCTCACGTTTTGCCATTCTCTTGAAATTAAGCCTCTCTCCTAGAATGGGTTTGAAATAGCTTTTGTCCTGTTTCTCTACTTTCTTGCTTTAGTTCTTAGGTTTTGTACTCTGTCCAACCTGTCTAGCTCACTTTCTTCCCTTTCGGTACGTTACGTTGTGCCCTGGAATTTTTTCTGTCATTGTCTGACAGTTTGTTTTGATTTTCAATTCCTGTTTGAAATCTGTGAAAACCTAATTAAATCATGTCATCCCATTGCTTGACCCTAGTTCAATAACTTCCTATTACATTCAGGAGAGAGAAGAAAGAAAAAGAAAGAAGGAAAAGAAAGAAAGAAAGAAAGAAAGAAAGAGAGACAGAAAGAGAGACAGAAAGAAAGAAAGAAGNAGACAGAAAGAGAAGAAAGAAGAAAGAAAGAAAGAAAGAAAGAAAGAAAGAAAGAAAGAAAGAAAGAAAGAGAGAGAAAGGAGAAAGAAAAAGAGAGGAGAAGAAGAAGAAAGGAAGGAAGGACAGGAGGGAGGGAGGGAGGGAGGAAGATGAGAAAAAAGAGAAGAAAGGGGGAGAGAGAGAAAGAGAGGAAAAAGAGAAAGAAACAAGAAAAAGAGAGGGAAAGGGAAAAGAAAATCCTTACTCTCTCAACATTCATCTTCTTTCTGGCTCTTGAATGCCTTTACCATCATCTATCCAAGAGTTTTTGTACAAGGGGCATCCTCTGCTTAGGGGTCCCTTCTGTAGAGCTTGGCTGACACGTGTCTTTGAGGCCTAGCCTTCAATATCTCCTCAGAGTTGAATACTCTAGCTTAGAAGGATTCATCACTAGGGACTAAGCCATCCTATTTTTTGTTTAAGCCTTCCGTGTTTGTATATGGTTTCCCCTACTCGATATTAAGCTCCTCAAATAGGGATCAAATCTACTTTATACATATTTACCCTATAATTCATTTCTGAAATACTGTGTGGTTTACTGATATCCAGTAGGTATTTGCTGAATTAATCAATGAATGTGGCTGCCTAAAAGAGTCCCTTAAGTTCACCTATATTTAATCCTTAACCATACTGTGTCTCATCTGCACTCATACTAGATATTGATTTATAGTGTAATCCTTCATTCTTTTCCACACGTTTTCAAGAGTTTTTAAATTTAGTATTTATGGAGTCAGAATTTAACCTGCTGCTTGAACTTACCACACCATTAGCCCTCACAATGGGAGCCTTCAAATCAGGAAAAACATTCTCCAAATACCATTTGAAACTTTTGCATTTTAGTTTCTTTCGAAGTTCCCGTTGTTCGGTGAGGTTTCCAACATCTAACCCTTGGTCTATGAGGTGGTCCCCATGGCCATAGAATAGCTCCTTGTACTCGTCAAGCCAGACCTCAGCAACCCGCACCAAGTTCCTCTCTACTGTCTTCATCCGGTCCTTGGGGAAGGAGTATGGATTGTCATTTCTGAATATGTGGCCCACTCGGGAACAGGGAATGATCTCAATTTCACCACCACACATCCATACCTGTAACAGTCCGATAGGAAGCATCAGTCATCACATGACTGCCCACAAGTCATGGGCAATTAACAATGACAAGGAAACACCTAGTGACCACCCCCATTCCCCCAGTTTGAAGTAGTACTGTCAACTTCTAAAATCTTTGTCAATAGTTTTGAATTAAGCTCAACAGGTTTATTTAGCTTTGTACATTGCTGTGGAGCATTCTAGGATTAGTGAAATATATATTGTTTGCTTCCCTACCCTGCAGTGTACATCTTTTTTTTTAATAAAGAAATTCTCAGAGTCCCAACTGTATAAAATATATGATATGAATTCCTGTTTTGATTAGATTGGAGTAAAAAGTGTACATTTCCTTTTTTTTTTTTTCCCCTTCAGTTTTTTCTTCTCACATCTTGGGATGATCCATATCACTTAATGGATCACAACTTGAAAATGAGCTCAAAGTAATACCCCTTTTACTATATACACCCCACTCCCTAAGAAAGCAGTTGCCGTTTGGATTCTCTTCACTCTGGCTACTGCTAAGGCTTTCTTAGGTGCTGATTAGTGACCACAGATATCCAGAACTGTCTGAGATGTCCAAGGTTGCTGCAACATCACCTGTTGATGGCTTGCTTTAAAGGCACTTTTGTACTTCTGTCACTTGCACTAAGGTGACCCATTACTGGTTGCTTTTGTTACTTCTGATATACTAGAAAAATGTTCCTGGAGAAAGTTTGTATGAAATATGAACCCTACAGCATTTACATGGAATGGCAGACAACTATTTCCCCTATGTTCAGATGTAGAAACAGTGTTATAAAATGTTAGGGAACTCTAATAAATTTCATGGGAGCAATTGATTCTTCCAAATTCAATCTGGGATATAAAAACATTAATTGAGAGGCCCTAAGATTTCTGTGAAATTTCCTTCCAGAGGTGGTCCCATAGCTAATTATGTTAGTAAAATGAAACCAAATGATAAACTCTTATAGGAAGAATTTGAGGACCATTTGGTAATACCTTGAATGAGAGCTCCATATTTTCTCCTCCCCAGACATCAAGCCCAGGGTCATATGTTCCAAGTTCGAAAAAGTAATTTTTATCAATGGAAAATAGTCCACCTGCCATGACGGGACACCTACAAAAAGAAATGTTTGGTTTTTTAAAACTTGTGTGTCATGGGAATTCAACTTTTAGAGTGGGTCCCCTGTGCAGTTGTGATGCAGTTAAGAGACATTTCAAAATAGCCATCAAGGGTGGGGAGGTCTTGGAAAGGAGTCACAAATAGCATTGAAATAATCAGTTCCATGGTTCATGGTGGCAGAGCTTGATTAGGGTCAGAGCAAAGATGGTGCTTGGGAGTATTATTCTTTATAGTCTTTACTCTCTGACACAAACTCTCCAGATATGTTATTCTTAACAATGTTTATTTAGTGCATACATATATATATATAACCTCAGACTTTACAAAAATCCTGCAACTATGTACCATTAAGAAAGTACAACACAGAAAAAGTTAGAAATGTTCCCAAAGTCACAGGTTAGTATGATATACATCTGGGGTTCAATTTCGGTGGTCTGGTTTGATGCTGTGATCTCTCACTCACACTGTCTCAACTGTAGACAGACTTTACTGACAGCTTGTTATGTGGCAAACTCTTTTTAAAGCACGTTATATAATCAGATTTAATTCTCAGATAATGGAGGTAGCTATTTCTCTTAGTCTTAATGCAGAACTGAGGAAACAGATTCAAAAAGGTTAAGTAACTTTTTAAAGCTCATGCCGTCAGTCAATAGTACCGTCGCAATTTGAATCCAAAGAGCCTGACTTCAGGGCCTTTACTACTTTCATGGGGGATAGAAACTACGCTTGAATCAGCAGTAATCATTTCCCATGGTGGTTACCATTGGGCCAGCAGAAAGAGGTTTGTGTGGAGAGCTTACCTTGTGTTTAGGGCATACGGCAATCTCAAGGGTAAGCTAATTCCTACCCCACACTTACTTCCCTTCCCCGTAGACACATATTCTGTCTGAATGATAAATGTCCTTTCCAGTCTATTGAGAATGCATTCTCTTCCTAACATTATGTTGGGTATAATCTGAACTCAATCACTACACTGACCCTCAAACTGGGAGTCTGAAAAAGGCAAAGAGGTTCTTTAGGTGTGGGATCAGAGCAAGAGTGTTATATTCAGGCAGATATGGGTTTGAATACCATTTTTTTCTTTTACAGGCTGTATATCCCTGGGAAAATTAAGTATTTTAAGGCTCCGTGTCCTCATCTCTATAATGGCAATCGTATCACCTTTCCTAGGGTTATAGAGATGATGAAATGCAGAGTGCTCAAGAAATGATAGTACCCCTACTTGACTTGCTAGGAATGTCAATTCTGAAAGCATGGCCCCTAGCAGAGGATAAAGGGTAACTTCTGAGGAATAATGCTCCAACGCACAGTGTGGGCTGGGCTTTCTGGTTGTACTTGTCCTCTTTCCAACTGGGAAGCCTTTGGGACTTCTGCCCTCTGCCCGAGGCTGGCTGCCTGCAGTTCTAGATTCCTGGGAACGTGTTTAGAAGCCTTCACTTTGCCTTTAGGTCTAAGCTGTGTTCTTCAATCCAGCTTCTCTAGCAATAAAGCCCCAATTTTAATTCATATCTGCCTTCTGTGTTTATTTCTCAATTCATTTACAGAACATGGTACCCCTCCCACAGAAGCAGTAGGGTTAGACTCCAAAAGGTAATCCTAATAGTAGTTATTATTACAATAATATTTGTATTACTATTATTTGCTTTTCTAATTTTTACTCATGTTGGCTTTAATATTGCGTGTGTTTTTACAGCATTTACACAGCATATTCAACTAGTTTATGCTTCTTAGCTTATAAGTTCCAAGGAGCAGGAATAGTGTTAGTGAATTTCTTTGGATTCAGGGCTGAATAGGGTGTAATTGGCCATTTAAAAAACGAGTTTTGGTAGCGGGGAACTAATTTCTTAGGAAAATTTTGCTTTTGATCATCTATTGGCTAAAACCATAAGTCTTGATGGTCTATAGAATGGCAGGAAATACTTGTTTTGTGGAATTGCTCCCTATGCCTTTATAAAAAGATACATGATTGCTTCCTAATCTTAAATCACATAAACTTACCGTATTACATCAGTTTCTTTAATTCTGTTTTTTGCAACAACATCTGGAGGAATTGTTCTCCAACCAAAGTTCATGGGCCACACAAAGATGCCTCTCTGAAAGTTGTCCACTGTCATGTAACTAAGCCAGGAAAAAAATAGAAGTGCTGCCTGAGTTCATACACATATACTTAATCAACCTGACACCATGTTTTGTTCAATGAATGAAGCAAGTGCTTACACAAATGATTTGAGATTATCATAAACTTTTTATAACATTTCAAGAAGAATTTTAAGTACAACTTGCATTAGTGGCTAACTAGCTGGATTGCCTATTTTGAACTTACACTTTTCTTTTAATAATGTACTGGATATTTCTGAAGGAAAGAATAATTTAGGAGCATATATATATTTTCCACAAAAAGATGAATGAGTCTTGAGGAAGATAAATATTTTGTGGCACAGCTGAATAGACAGATGAAAGAACTGGACAATGAGTATTAGGAATTATTGGTATTGAGAGTTAATCATTTTGATGATCAAGTAAACAATTGGATTGACATTCTCTGATCCCAAGATATCTATTATGTGTTTCCACTGATTTAAATGGATGAACTGTGTATTTCTTAGATTTGTAAAAGTGTGCAGGTTAGGAATATGTCCAATGGGGCGCCTGGGTGGTTCAGTCGGTTAAGCATCTGACTTCGGCTCAGGTCATGATCTCACGGTTCGTAGGTTCGAGCCCCACATCAGGCTCTGTGCTGACAGCTAGCTCAGAGCCTGGAGCCTGCTTCAGATTTTGTATCTCCCTCCCCTCTGACCTTCCCTTGCTCACGCTGTCTCTCTCTCTCTCAGAAATAAATAAAAAACATTAAAAAAAATATATGACCAGTATTTTCTGCTGCTGCTAGTTAAAGAGTCACTTATGAGTATCTTGTGGAATATGACAATATTACCTCATATCTTTATCATTGATGACTTCGATTACTGGACAGGCTACTTTCTTTCTACTTAAACAAACTCTTTCCAGAAGAGGTTCCAACCAACCAACGTTACATTCGATGTGAGAATCTAAGAATGTCAACACATCACCTAGAGAGTCAGAAAAAAAAAATCATTTGAAAATGCGATATACTGAATGTGTGTTTGTCATGTTCAAAGGTCTTGGGGATTGCTCCAGAAAAGTGATTGTAAAGGCAGCATATTGTAAAGGCAGAAATTCTCACTGAATTCTTGGTCCCTATATTTTCATTCTACAATGAAATAAAAGAAATTTTGTTTCTGGAAGTCCTAGGGGGCAAGCATCATTTTTGTTTGCAAAAAAATTGATAAGCCACTTCGAATGGGTAGCCAAGACTTTGAAGGGAATCTTTGGTATTAAAAAAGTGGCTGCTTTGTTTCTTCTAAGGAGGGTGAGTCCCATTACCCTGGGGTGGGGGTGGGGGGTGTGGAAAACAGAGCTTTATTTTTCAGAAGACCAGGCAGAGTTTGATATTCCAAGGTTGGCCTTAAGAGTGATGAAGAGGAAAAATCATTTTGTATAATAGGGGTACAAACAAATAAAAGGGGAGGAATCGGCAAGGCTAGAAGATAGTGTGAAAGGGTTGCAAGGGTGGGGGGAAGAATAGGGAATAGTTTAATGGGTATAGAGTTTTAATTTTATAAGATGAAAAACATTCTAGAGATGGGCCGTACAATGGTGTGAATATACTTCAGAGCACTGGACTGTGCACTGAAGAGATACAATGGTAAATTTTATGTTACCTGTATTTTACCACAATAAAAACATAAAAGAGTTGGAGGAGAAATAAAAAAAGAAAAAAGAAACCTGGATGCTAAAAAATATTTATTAAAAATTCTTTTTTTCTCTATTAGTTGTGTGAAGTAGCACTTTCTTCTCAATAAAATTCTAAGTACATCTACATTGTTCCAAATGATTTATACAAGTGGATTGTGTGTATGTGTGTGTGTGTGGTTGTGTGTGTAAGATTAATAATAACTTGAGGAATCTGAACTATGACCAAAATCCTCTGTGTCCTTTCAAGCCCAGCCATAGGAAATTACAGAGGCTTCCCTCGAAGGCCAGGCCTCATGGTGGGAGGCCGCCCTTTCACACCAGACACAGTCTGCAGCCAGTGCACCCCTGCCACCGAAGGGAGTTGCAGTCAAGAGTTCAGGACCTCCTTCCCACTCAGTGGATGTGCTCTTAGTAAAGCTGTGTTCCTAGCCCATATTCCTCCATTTTCCTCCATTCCGAGGACTCCTTCAGGCCAGAAACTCAGCCTCACTATGTGGGAGGTAGGTAGATCTCCAGCCCATTTTCTTCCACTCTGACTCAGCATTCATTACTTTCCCACCCCTAACCCTCTTGTTTCTCTCACCCTAGCCCCCAGGGCCATAAAACAGGAGGAGTCTTTTGTTCTGGGTTCCCTTAGGCGGTGAGATGATCCTCACATCTGCTGACTCCACCAGTCTATTTCTCTACAGGGAAAAATGGAACACTGAGGGAGTCATCACTTTTCTTCTGCTTCAATTCTTACTCATATCATTGGAGGAAAAGATTAAAGACTTGAGTGTTACTTTCATTTTGACTTGTTTGAACTGACCACTCTGACACCTGAGTGCTTCCCCTTAGCTCTTGACTAACCAGTAATAACAGCAATATTTTCAACTAAGTGTTTTTTCTATGCCAGACATGGTTCTAAGCTTTCTACATAGTTGTCTTGTTTAAGCCATACAACAGCCCTGAGTATAAGTCTAATTTTTATTCCCATTTAAGAAATGAGATATAGGTCTAAGTTTTATTCCCTTTGAAGAGAAACAAAGAACTTAAAGTTTTTTAAGTTTGCACAGCTAAGTGGCAACCTGATATTAGAAAATAGTTTATTCCATTGCCTGTGTGCCCAAGAAAAGAAAGGAAAAAAATGGCCAGAAAGAGGAAAAGCTATTAGAGTGTGAAGGCTTAAAGCAAAGGCAGAAAACAATAGCAGGCGAAGAACAAGGTGAAATTCGATATCTGGATGATAGATCATTACCCACTAAAAACTGTAACAAACCTCTTAATTGATGGCTTGATACCTTATTAATTAACTGATCAACAATGGGATTTTTGAAAGAAGGTAAAGAAATTGACCTTAGCCAAAGTGTTGGTGAGGAATGTTCTTGAGAAGTCTCTTTAGGCAGAACTGGGCTGTGCTAGACCAAAGTCCCTACCCCTGCTCATCTTCAACTTTTGGGAGACAGCGGTTACAACTCCTGATCATGCTAGGGGCATCCCATTTTCAGATTTTATGGCTCTTTTGATAATGAAAGGTCATTATCTCCTAAGGGTGACCTCTTGCACAGTCTGCCCCCTGTGTGTGAAGGTTCACAGGGGCGATCTAGTGTGTAAGGAATGTAAGCATGGCCTGCTAAGGTCCTACTTGGTTGGTGTATATAGCATGTGTAGAAGACAGCCCCTTTCTCTTACTACTTCTTTTATTTTTTTAATTTAAAGTCAAGTTAGTTAACATACAGTGTAGTCTTGGTTTCAGGAATAGAACCCAGTGGTTCCTCACTTACACATAACACTGCAGTGCTCATCCCAATGGGTGCCCTCCTTAATGCCCATCACCCAGTTAGCCCATCTTCCCACCTACCTCTCCTCCAGCAAACCCTTTGTTCTCTGTATTTAAGAATCTCTTATGGTTTGCCTCCCTCTCTTTTTTTATCTCTTATCACTGCTACTACTGGTCCATTCAAACCAAAGAGTGGTTTCTACTAGATTGCCTGTTCTTATCTTCACAGTAAGCTTATAATGTCAAAAGGGTCTGAATGGACTTTCTCAGCCCTTGGTGGCATCAAGATGGGTCCCCAAACCTATATTCACTTCCCACCTGGCCCAGATTCCCATACAGATTTTCATTCACTTGTTGTCAGGACCGAAAAGAAGTATCCTCTGCCCAACACATAGATTGGAATTTTATACTGTTTTTGGACAAGAAGAGAATCCTCCTGGGCTTGAATGTCATTGCTCCACTTTCAGATACTTTAATTTAAAATAAGATCTCAGGAATTTGACCAGTGAACTGTCTATGTTGCTTAATTGGGTTAGGATTTCCACCTGTGGTGGGTAAGGTCTGGGGACACTTCACACACTGTTCCTACACCAGAAAGTCATGGTGAAATGAACATAGGACTGAAGTCACACAGCTCTGCCTCCTTAGCCACACTGGATAAGACACTTAACCTTTCCGAGCTTTACCTAAAAGAGCTATTTCTAAGAGCTACCTAATACCTTCATTCCTTATAAATGGCTAGTATTGTTACTGTTTGTCAATGAGTATTTAAGCTAGAGCTCAAAATAATCTTATATTGATGGCCAATTGGTAGGTTTTTCTTTTTCCTATGAGTAGGTCTCAGTAATGCTGATTGTTTGCAGATGGATTTGATTGCAACTTTTTTTTATTTATTTACTTTTTGACCAGTCCAGAGATGCTCAATGTGCCACAAAGCTTTGGCCCCTCGTTGAGTATGGACTCCCATTTATACTTAGCTAACCAGATTGGGATATTGTTGCCAGCACCAATTAGTGTTGGTTTGTTGTGTTCAGGGTTCCTTAAGGAGTGTGGACCTGGCTGGTCATTTAAATTTACATAATAATTTATAAATGATGCTAAGGAAACCACCTGTTTTACCTGCAGCAGAAACAAGTTGTAGACATCTACAGAAACAAACAAGTTGTAGACATCTCCTGTTGATTCTCAGGAGACCTCTGGGTTGTCCAGGAGTTAGATGCCACTTTAGTCCACATGCTTAAAGTTAGCCAACTGGTGCTTTGGAATGCTCACAGCAATGTCAAATATTTTCCTAAATGCCATTATTATAAAGGAAATGAGAAACTGATCTCTACCCTGATTCTCTGGAGTGTACTACTGAAACTGAAACTGCCTGACCACACACTCTTATTGGCAAGGCAGGAACTTGCTCTTTTGTTCAATATTAGCATGAGATCCTGGTGGCTGGCTTGTACACTTGCACCTCCATCACCATGTCTCTTTTTCCTTCTGTTGGCTTCGTATAGGACACCTTCCCTAGAGATCCACTGACCTTGGCATGCCCTTCAAATTTCTAAATCCTGTTTGGCCTCTCTAACTCCTCGTTCTCAGGAAATAACTGATTGGACTTGATCTTCTTGTCTGAATCAGATCCAGATGGAGAATGTATCATGCCCTGGAAACTGAATATGTAGTGAACATTGCCAGTGGTCAGAGAGCTACTGTTTTGCCCTTACTATTTTGCAGTATGTACTTTCAGAGAATCTGATGATAGCCTGGGACCAAAATGAGGCCCCTTGACCAGTGTCTGCAGGTCCTTGGATCTTTGATCTCATCCTTGCCTGTGGCTTCCCCTCCCCTTTTTCTGATTCCTAAAGGGTAAATCTGTTGGAAACACTAACTGTCAAGGTCTGTCAGATTTTGAATTCAGATTCTGGTCCTACATCTCTTTGTTGGCTGAGGCAGCCCTGATATCTTTGCAGATCTCTGATTAGAGAGACTGTTCAGGCCCAAAGTGTCTCCTACCTATGCTCTATTTGTGATGGCCGGGGAATGCCCAGAGGGGAGTCTGTGAGAACTCACCAGGTTGACCAGCCCTGCTCAGTGCCAGACTCTGAATAGTCCTTGAATTATTTTCTCAGCTGACACTGGTACGGGATTCTGAATACCCCTGAATTTTTCACAGGACTCAGGTATACTTCAAGGCCCTTGGACATATCCTTGGACAAAGCTGTTACTAATCGCATTAAAATACACCTTTCTACTTTTTCCAAGATAGTTTGAGAAGCAACTCTTCATTAGACAGTGACAAGCAGGTAAGATGCATCTAGTGGGCTTTCCAAACTAAATTTGGGACCGTTTAGCAAGTCACTACAACAAGGTAGTGGCATTGGCCAGAGCCTAAAAAAACAAATAAAATAAAAAGAGAAGATACTAAAATCTGCTGCACATGTTATTTCATGAAATGTCTACTGCAGTTATATGTGTAACATGTGTACGTACTAGATTGTGATGTAAAATTTATTTTTTAACATGGGTTATGGTCAAAATAGTTTAACAGTTACCAGTCTAAAACTGAGCTAATGTGCTTAGAGGTATTAGGGATTAAAAGCCAAATTTACATTATTACATTTGGATTTACTAAATTCAGAATTATCTTCTTGGTGTAACCATAAGTACTTGGACAGACCAATTAGGCAACTTGCTTTGATCAAGTTCATTGCACCCCATCTGAAGAGGCCTCCTGTGTTGTCTAACAGTATGGACTATTGCGGAGATCATGTCTTGCATGTGCTGTGCTCCATGCAGGCAGAGAGAAGTTTTTATAAGCATTAGATTTCTGGTTCTGCACTTGTCAGCTTTCTTTACGTGGATGTCTCATTTTCATCTCAAATTTACATAAATAAAATCGGAACTCAACTGCAACCCCAAATCTGTTCCTCTGGTTATGGCCTCACCACCCACCAAGTGGCCTGATTCCAGTCCTAGTGTTTTTTTGTTTTTGTTTTGTTTTGTTTTTTGACTCCTTTCATTATTACTCTCTTCATATCTTACCTGATGACAAGTCCTGCAGGTTCCATGGGCACAATATATTCTTACTCTGACCACTCCCATCTTCTGCCCTAGTACCTCCCTGGTGCTTGGACAACTGTAACAGTCTTCTAATTGGTCTCCCTACTTCCTCTCTCATCTCCCTAGTATGTGTTCTCTACAACGCGGCCAAAGTGAGCTTTAAATTAATTCAGACAATTTTATTCACCTCTTTAATGTACTTCATTGGCTTCATATTATACAAAGAATAATGCCTACACTTCTCAGATGACTCATAAAACTTTGCAAAAGCCTGCTTTTGCCTTGCTCCCCTCCCCACCCCACCCCCAGTGAATCTCCTACCACTGTTTTTATGGTCAGCACCCGTCAGCCATAATAAACTTCTTTCTTTAATTTGAATACACAAAATGTATTTCTGTATCAGGACATTATACTTCTTGTTCCACTTGCCTGGGAATGGAATGTTATTTATCCAGATCTTAGCCCCAAACCTGCTTATTTGGACTATTTCCTCACTTCCTATTTTTGATCATTTGTGGGTAATTACTTCCCAAAAGAAGTCAAACATGGATTTTTACTTAATTTTCCAAATGCAGTTTATCATTAAGCATCTTATCTGTCACTGCAGTACAAATTTTGGTGTGATGTGTTTGTAGTTAGCTTAAAATTCCCATTACAGGCCAAAGAAATTTGTTAGCAAACCAGTGGGATAAGAAAAGTTCCAAATTTGTGGTCTAGTTACAAGGAGGTATAACTCAGGTGAGTAGATAATTTTCCATTAGAACATGCTTAAATTCAAACTGGCAGAAACCTGAAATGCCATGGCTTACAGAAGAGTGGTATCTAAATGTCTACAGGAAGCAACATGTAGTAGATAAGAGTGAGAATTTGGAGTTTTCTGCGTTCCAATCCTGTGGTATCACTTACTAGCTGGGAGAACTTGGGCAAGTCATAACCTCACTGTGCTTTTATATCTGGATCTGTAAAATGAGGAAAGTACTCATACCTACCTCCTAGAGTTATTGTGAAGATTAAATCAGTTAGTCTAGAAAGTGTTTAGAATGGAACCTCGTTTGTAAGTTCAGCTATTATTATGGGGTACAGGTCCTTCCACAGAATGATGTGAAAATGAATCTATATGTTTGGCATTAATTTTAGAGTACTGATGGACAGAAAAAATTTGCCTCCTCTCTTTCACTCACCAACACCCACACACTAAAAAGAGGTGAAGAAAAGAGTGTATTGTTCTTATGAAGACAGAAAGAGCTATCAGAAGAGCAGACACAGGCATGGAAGAGAGAAGTAAACAATTTTGAGTCCTCAAACACTGATGGGATCAAGTAAAAAAGGCTTAGTCTTGAAGAGGCTCCAAGTGGTCAAATTTGGTACGATTTGAGTACCATAAATAAAAGAAGGAAGGAAGGAAGGGAGCAAGCAAGCAAGCAAGCTAATAATATAAACATTGAATTTTTGAAAGTGTAAATTATAATTTTTTTAATGTTTTATTTTTGTCTGAGAGAGAGAGAGAGACAGCATGAGCAGGGGAGGGTCAGAGAGAGAGGGAGACACAGAATCTGAAACTCCAGGCTCTGAGCTGGCAGTCAACACAGAGCCCAACATGGGGCTCAAACCCATGAACCGTGGGATCATGACCTCAGTTGAAGTCAGAGGCTTAACCGACTGAGCCACCCAGGTGCCCCGAAAGCATAAATTAATAATGAGGATTTCCCTATAAGAAGGAAAGAGGAGGGAGGGAGAGAGGTGAAGGGAGTAAGAAAGAGTAGAGGGAGGGAAAACAGAAGAGATGGACAGCCCTCAGTGCAATAAATGATCTAAGCAATGATCATCAATGGGTGCAATACCATTGGGTAAAACGTAAGAAAAACAGAGTGTTCATTTGGATCAAAGTATTACCCCACAAATTGCTTCTTACTCCCTGTAGAAAAATCTGGCTGTCAACATTTTAACTAAGTGTTCAAAATTATCATCATCAACAGTGGGATAACCTGACATCATGTGTCTCTTGATTGGAAGCCATAAGCAGTACACAGTTTCTACCACCTGTGTAGTAGAATTCTATACAGTATGCATGCCAGAAACATTTATCCTGAGTGTAACATGAGGAAACAGTGAAGAAGTTTCGGATGTGGTCAAATGTTAAAAACAAATGTCCCAGACACTTAAAAAAACACAAACAAGCCAGTGACCAGTAGGGTGTTGTCTACTCTAGGTTGAGAAGCTAAAGAGAGTAAACCAAATGCAATTCATAAAACTTAATTAAATCTGAAATTTCAAAAGAGAGAAGCAACCATTAAAAACATTTCAGGAGTAATGATGGAGTCTGAAAAGCATATAAACCAGATCATATTTAGATATGAAAGTGTGCTTACCTAATAGAATGTCTCTATTTTTCAGGGATGCCTACTACGGTAGACATCATTGTAGGGTCATAATGTCTGTAAATTCAAAAGTTGAGAAAAAAAGTGGATATATATAAACGTGTGTGTGTGTGTGTGTGTGTGTGTGTGTGTAATAAAGCACATATTGCAAAAAGCTAAAATTGGTGGAATGAAGATGGCTATATGGATGTCTGCTGCAGTATTATTTCAAATTTGCTGTATATTTGAAAAAAAAATAAACTAAAACAAAAATATAACCAAAATTAAAAATGAACAGCCTCTTACCTGTCGCATTCTGGGCTCCCACCAGCCTGGCTCTTATTAAGCCGTGTCTCTCTTTGAGGCGAAGAATCCGAACTTTTGGAAACTGAGACATGTATTTATCCAGATTGTCTTTTAGGTAGTCTGTATCACAGCAAGAGCAGACAAAGAGACACTTTGAGCAACTAGATCTGGATAATACTAGCAGTGCCTCCTCAACATCAAATTCCAGAGACTATGATATTTACTCTCATCACTAAATTCTATTCCTTGGGCCGTGATTTTATTTTCTGATGTCATTTTCTTGAATGGTGTTTTGTCTGTATTCAGTACTCCAGGCCTTGTGCTTTTTAAATCTCAAATCCTTTTCAGTGTTGCTAAGTTAAAGAGGAGGGCTCACCTTTTCTGAGTATTTGTCAGGATGGGGCAAAATTTGCCTTGAAATAAATGAAGCTCAGGTTTCTGTACAAACTTCCCAGCTTACAAAGGTGTCTTCCAAGACCCAGACAGAATTGTATGCAAATTGAAAAGATTTTGAAATAAAGATATTGCAACTGCCATTAATTAAGGTCACTGTCACTTCTCTACTATGACGCTCTCTCCATCATGCCTCTTTTGTCTTGTTGGGTGGCCAAAGAGGAATCCATCTAAAGGAATGTTATTGGGGTTCTATGAGGTATATTTATATGACTTGCAGTCACTCCTATGTGTAATCAAGCTATTGACAGATATTCTATGTAGGAATGGCTTCCAGAAGTGCTTCTGCTGCTCCCTTTCCTACTAATTTTGTGGGATTTTTTCTTTCTTTCTTTTTTTATGTTTCCTTATTTTTGAGAGAGAGACAGAGAGAGTGCAAGTAGGGGAGGAGAGAGAGAGAGAGAGAAACAGAAAGACAGAATCTGAATCAGGCTCCAGGCTCTAAGCTGTCAGCACAGAGCTTACATGGGGCTCGAACTCATGAACCATGAGATCATGACCTAAGCCAAAGTTAGCTTAATTGACTGAGCCACCCAGGCATCCCTGTGGCATTTTTTTCTTAAAGAGGACTCTGGAACCATATAAGCTTTAGGTCCCTCCAAGTCTGGATCTGCCATTCATATGAAACATTATTATTTGCTTGATGACTAGATACTATTTCTGTGTGTGTTCTCAAAGCCCCTTCTCAAAGTTTTCAACCAGTTTTTCTCATGGATTTTCCCTGTTCCTGGACCTCATTGTGATTCTGGTAGGCACTCTGAGGTTGATGAAACTGGCCCATGTCTTTGTGGTCATGATCAAAGCCAAGTTGTCCTATTAGAGTTGTCCTCTCCTTGCTATTTTCTAAAAATTTCTGATATGTGTTGCATTTTGGCAATTTGTAATATGGTGGCAATGGGACGTCAGGTGGAATAAGACCACTTACATACACAAATTATGTGATAACCCCAAGAGAGAGATTCTTCACTTCTTCTGCAGTGTGGTTGATTCTGCCTTTGTACTCTGTTGAAGCTTCATCTCTTTGGTTCTATTGATAATTTGTCTTCTCAACACTTAAAACGTAATGTGCTTTGCTCTTGAGGAAGAAACCACAGACCTTCCATATCTTTGTTTTCCACAGAGTCTAACTCTGATATATTACGTACATCAAAGTTTAACTTTCAGGAGTGGTTTTCTTACCTTTGGTGCTGAAGTCATCCACCAGCAGAATCTCCTTGATGAGATGCGGAGGAGAGCGATTAAGCACACTATGAACAGACCTCAGCAGAGTGGACCACACTTCATCCACAAAGCACATGATGACACTGGTGGTCGGGAGGTTATTATGAACTAGCTGCTCTGTACACCTGGGCCAGGACAGAAGCAGGGCACAATGATGCGCTAACAAGAGCCATGAGATGGTTTTAAAAGGCACAGAGTACAATTGTATGTATACACATATATACTCACATGCTCTGTTTATCCGTAGGTATGTCTATCTGTTTTTCTATTTATCTATTCTTCTATCCTTCCTTCCATCTATCCATCCATTCATTCAGCCATTCATTCACCCATCCATTATCTACTACATATATCAGTTATAATTTTATCATGTATTTTTCTTGGGGAGGGGTATAAGTAAAATAAACAAGCAGGGGAAGAATAGCCAGTGACAGTAGTTGCAATGCAAGACATGAGAAGTTCCTGTGGAGGCATTTGTTGTAGTGGACAGGACATAAGCTGTATTGGTTAGACACTATTTTGAATCTCACCACCAATATTTTTCAGATCTTTATCCACTGATATCATACTTAATCTCTCTGTATCTCTGTTCCTTCATCTTTAAAGTTAGGTAAATGTTCTTATTCAACAGAGTTTTACAGTCTAGAAAGAAATCACATAAATTGTCTAGCACAGTTCCTGGCACAGGAATTCACCAAATGGTAGCTACTGCTATCCTAATTAGACTGTATACCAAAAGAGAACACTCTGATTTAATTAATGTTACCAAGTAGTCTATGATTGCCCTTCCAACTGGCCTTCTCCCAAGTGCCGAAGGAAATATTCTTTCTCTCACTCTGCATGTGAATGCATTTATGGAGATAAATGGAGATATATAATTAAACCCTTCATATTCCCTATCTATTTAGGGGTTATTTGCTGAGACTTTCTGTGCTACAGAGTAACCACAATTGAAATAATTTTGCTGGCATAGAGAAGAGGATAAGTCTCCAGAGGGAGCTGGTATTCAGATAGGTTGTAATTGGTCTTGGTTTTTTACCATGCCCTGCCCTGCTGTGTGTACTACCTCATTGCTGGTTTCTTCCATCGCCTGCCTATGCTCCCCTTCTTAGGAGGGTGCCCAGCAGAAGCTCACAAAGAGTATTCACCATCCTTCTAATACAGCTACTGTTAGTAATGTCATCATTACATTATTATGATCATAAATAAATATTATAGGCTCTCTGTATCATTTCAATGTAAACCAACAGAATCTCTTCCTCCTTTTATGGATGAATCATTGAAATCATGGTGAGGCTAGTTCATGATTTTACTGTTAGTGAATGACACAGTTGGGACTCAAACTCTGGTGCAGTCTGGCTCTAGAAATAGCCACTCGGGAAGCCTTAAGTTCTCGAGAATAAAAGAAGCTTGGCAGTAAATGTAGCATTTTATGGCAGTAGGCCTTTCTGCCAGCTAATCTAACTTTGCTTGGTCTGTAAAGAAGAAATAGATAAGAGTAAAAACCATGATAAAACCATATTTGCATGTATCCACCAATCACACTTAATAAACTGCTATTATGCAGACAATTATAACAACTGGTTGGGATCCACATTATTAACTTGACCTCTTCTCTAAATAGAGCAAACTGAAGTTTCAGAAGGTAGATTACTTACTCAACATGATTCACCTAGAAAGGATATATATGGAAATGTGAACAAATAGTCTTCATTCTACTGGATTATGCTGATTTTTCTGTACTAAGAGCATGGGTTTTGGCATCAGATAGATATTGGTCAGATATCCATTCCCCTAATTACTGGCTTAAATTGTTACCTTCTTTAAACCTCAATTTGCCAGAGATTAAGAACCTCCAAGCAGACATTAAGAATCTACTTATTGTAAGGTTAAATGTAAATATTATATAAAACTCACCTAGTATATATCTGACATACAGCAGATACTTAAGAAAAGGTAGGAGGTAGGCAAATCCAGCTTTGGTCTCTAATTTTAATGGGGGTCCTAAAGTGGATGGTTATTATAATTACCTACAAAGCCTTATAAAAACATACATAGCCAACCTCCATCCTTCCAAACTTAATTCAGCAGTAGGCCCTGAGAATATATCTCTTAAAAAACAAACAGTATAAATAAAAATCTACAAAGGACAGCTAACATGTTGTTGATAGATAGGCCAGTGTGGGAATACGAGCTCTAAGACAAAGTGGATTTATTTTATTTATTTTTGGTGGATAATCTTAAAAAAATAAATTGAAAGCTGATAGGAGCATGACCTGAATCTTCAGGTGACGTAAATAAAACCACACATTTTGATCAGGTATCTTGATCTAGTGATCAGGTATTTAATGTTAACATTAACTAACAGACAGCCTAAACTAATCTTATTCTATACTAAAGATCCACAGATGGGCATTTCTGAATAATATGAGATACTCTTGACTCCACTAAGGTCTGCATTAGTTTCCTGTGGCTGCTGTAACAAATTACAAGGGGGAAAAATCCTGCTTCTCAGTTTCCTCCTCAATTTGTCTCTCTTCTCACATTTTACTATGAACAGAAACATTGGGCCACACTTTCAATGCTTGGGTTGGAATTTTCTTCAGCTAAGTATCCATGTTCATGACTTTCACATTCTCCTTTCCATACAGCTGTAGGACACAATTTAGCCAAGGCTTCTGTCACTATCTTGCAAAGATCATCTTGCCACCAGTTCACACTAATATGTTCTGCATTTCCTTCTGAACTTTCACAAGATGCACTTAGAATGGTCATATTTTTACCAACATTCTGTTCAAGACAATATATGTATCCTTAAAACATTTTTTAATGTTTATTTATTTTTGAGAGAGAGAAAGAGAGAGATAGACAGAGTGTGGGCAGGGAAGGAACAGAGAGAGAAGGAGACAGAATCTGCAGCAGACTCCATGCTCTGAGCTGTTAGCACAGAGCCCGACACAGGACTTGAACCCACGAACCCTGAGATCACGACCTGAGCCAAAGTTGGATACTAAACCAACTAAGCCACCCAGGGACCCCACCAAGCCACTTTTTGATACCAAAATCTATAGTAGCTTCTGGTGGCTCCCCATGATGAACTTTATGGCTTAAAACAACAGAAACATATTGTTTTGCAGGTTTGGATGCCATAGCATTAATTTACTGATTTTATTTCATATCTTCTGCATCCAGAATTCCCTGCTAACTACAGTGCCACAAGCTTCTAGCATAGTTGCACATAATTAATATTTGATAAATATGTATTAAATGGATGGATGGAAAAAATGGAGATGGAATGGAGTTTAAAACAAAATGTTAATGGTGGAAGAAGAGGTATTTTGCTTTGATATAGGAAGAAAAAGCATGGTAATATATACAGATGAGTTTATGCACATGGGCTGAGACATTGAAAGAATTTGTAGTTCATGTTGGAGGAAGGGTTATTTGTTAATGTAATAGGGTAGGTGCTTGAGAAGAATAGAGACAATTCAGACACTATGAATAATGAGAAGGAGTACTGGCTAACTACACATAAAAGGATTTCTTTTCTTTTCTCTCTCTCTCTCTCTTTTTTTTTTTTTTTTTTCAAAGAGAGACAGCTTGAGTTGGGAAGGGGCAGAGAGAGAGGGAGACAGGAGACACAGAATCTGAAGCAGGCTCCAGGCTCTGAGCTGTCAGCACAGAACCTGATGTGGGGCTTGAACTCACGAACAGTGAGATTATGACCTGAGCTGAAGTTGGATGCTTAACCAACTGAGCCCCCCCAGGTGTCCCCATAAAATGATTTCTGAGGAGCATTGAGTACATTCCTGAATTTGGAGATCTCAAAACTCTAGTCAAAATACCAGTGTGATTTGCTCTACCAGTGTCTGTCAGCCTGGGGGAAGGAGAAGATAAAAGCAAATTGCTGAATTAATCCAAGTCTACAGGTCATCAGAAATAATGAGGTAGAGAGAAAAGTGGTAGAGGATTTTGAGGATACTGGTATGGGATGGATAAATGCGCCTTCTTGGGCTCTAGTCTGGGAGAGAGGAAGTAAAGCTAAGAGGAATTTAATAACCTGAATGAAAGGAAGCCTACAGAAGACATCGGTGACTTTCTATTACTTTGTCGTCTCTAATCACATAACAGAAGTGGATGTAAAATGCATTTCACACTTAAATATTCCTTATAACATTGCATGCTGAGAAAGAGACACCTATGCTAAAAGGGTCAGCTGCACAAGTTCTTTCTGAGCCATCTGAACCAACAAGCCTCCGATGTCAAGTCTTTATTGTTTTTTTTAAATTTTATTTTTTTTAAATATTTTTATTTATTTCTAGGAGAGAGAGAGAGAGAGAGAGACAGCGTGAGCAGGGGAGAGTCAGAGAGAGAGAGGGAGTCACAGACTGAAACAGGCTCCAGGCTCGGAGCTGGCAGTCAGCACAGAGCCCGACGCGGGGCTCGAACCCACGAACCGCGAGATCATGACCTAAGTGAAAGTCGGACGCTTAACCGACTAAGCCACCCAGGCGCCCCTCAAGTCTTTATTATTAAAATTGGGTTGACATTAGAAAATCTAGTTACAAATGAGAATACACCAAGGGGCTAAACAAGCAGGCCAATGCGGATGAATCTTCTTATATAATAAATCAGTAGATTTTTAAAAATCTCTTTTAGAAGGAAATTTTAAGAAGTGTCGTAATGTTAGACCATTTGAAATTGGAGGTAGAAACAGCTCTCAGAGATCTGGGAGATTTGGGGAAAGCTCCTCCAATTGCCAGATATCTGAGCTTCCATTCTGCCTATCTTGTCATGGTGACTTGGTTTCACTATTAGGAATCCATATGAGTGGGTCCCCAAGGATTCCACGAGATGCCAGTCTCCCAAGAAGTAAGTCGTACCTGTGCCAATTATTGGGAGATACATATTTCTTGTTTTTTAAATTTTTTAATGTTTATTTATTTTTGAGAGACGGAAAGAGAGACAGAATGCAAGCAGGGAGGGGAAAAGAGAGAGGAAGACACAGAACCCAAAGCAGGCTCCAGGCTCTGAGCTGTCAGCACCCAGTCTGACATGGGGCTCAAACCCACAAACCGTGAGATTATGACCTGAGCCGAAGTCAGAGGCTTAACTGACTGAGCCA